TTCCTGGACTGTAAATTCCTTGAAGACAGCATCTCTGTCACATGCATCTCTGTACCTCAGTGTCCAGCTCATAGCAGGAAAAAAGTAAATATCTACTGAATGAAGAATGGACAAATTAAAAATAAGGGCCAATCTGTGAGCAAAGGCTAAGTGACTAACAGTGGAACAAACGCTGATCACATTGCAGACTGAATCATCACAAAGGCCTGTCTGCAGACAGTGCTGCCGCTTGTAAGCTGCTCAGCCTCCACGTGCATTAGGAAACAAGAAAGGTAGGTGCTCCTCAGAGTGTAAGCTGACTTTCAGGGCCACATGAGGTGGTGCCTCACAGTGGTTTATTTCCTTCGCAATTTGCGAAAACAAAACCCAGCAAAATCATTCCCCTTTTCCCAAAAGTTGGCACTGTCTCAAGTGTTTCTTTTCCGAAATACTTTCTTTGGCCAGGCAACCCTCCCCAAGCGATAGCTGTTAGGCATTAGTGTGCTCTGAATCCTTTAGAGAAGGTCAGTCCTGAATACCAAACAGATGCAGAACCCTGAGTTCCCAGACTGGAGTCTAACAACTGAAATGCATAACAATATTCATCTTCTCTGTTTCCGCTGTTTTCAGGTTCACCATAAGCAGGCATATTTTAGAGACTGGCCTTGAGTTATTCTAATTTCTGCACCTGAAGTGAGGAACAAGTAATTTGAGGCAGAAAAGTAACACAGGAGAGGGTGTTAGCTTTCCATGCTCATCCATGCTCCTTGTCCCCTCACAAAAGCTGCGCCTTAAATCCAGTTAGCTTCATGGAGACAACAAAGGTACTAAAGAGGGGGGATCTTTTTTTTTTACCCTCACCTGAGGACATTTTTGCATTTATCTTCAGATAGAGTGGGAAGGAGAGAGGGAGAAACATCGATGTGAGAGAGACACATCGACTGGTTGCCACCCACACAACCCCAACCAGGGCCGGGGACAAGCTGCAACTGAGGTACGTGCCTTTAGTGGGAACCGAACCCGGGACTCTCTGGTCCGGAGGCCGACGCTCTAACTGCTGAGCCAAACCGGCCAGGGCGAGGGAGGATCTTATTTAGAATACAACTTTTGTACTAATTATTTACACAGAGCAAAACCAAACCAGAAAAACAAAAGAACACCCCCTCTTACTCCAGATTACTTTTAATTTCAGATGGAAAAGCCCTAGGCAGTAAGAGAGAAAAAAAATGGACCCACACATTAAGTAGATTGGCTAGTTAATTTAGCGTGAGTGGAAACAGCCAAATAATATTAAGTTGTCATGGTAGAAAGTAATGCTTTTGCATTACTACCCAAACTTGTAAAAATACTCAGAGAGGCAGAAAGAAGGACTAAATTTAGACCCTGATTTAATGCATTCAAGAGCATGATTCATTTTCCCCCTGTCCTGGTATGGCCCAGGAAATCTGTGTGTACGACAGGCAACACAAGGATGCCCTGTAAATAGAGTAGTTTCATTCATTCAGAGGCTGGAGAAATCCAGGGACACCCCATTTTTTTTCTGCCAACAAAGGCGTACTTCCAGGTACCTCACACACCAACACAGAACCAGATTTCTCAGCTGGCGAGAGGCCATCTAATTTCGCTTTGCTCTGGCCTTGGCACGAATGTGCTGAAAATTTATTTCGCTGCGTCTCTTCTCTACGTGGTTTTCCCCCCTCAGGCTCCTGACCAGCTCTCTCTATGCAACATGGGTCACTTTAATGAGATGCCCAAAAGAATGTCATCATTTGGTAGCAAAGCCTTTAGCAACCTGCAACCCAAGTCACCTCATGGTGGCCCATAGGTTAGGTCTTAGAGAGTTCGTATTTTATATAACAAACACCTGAGATGATTTTGAGGTATTTGAAAACAAACAAACAAACAAAAGAGAACCAAGCCAACCAACCACCAACGGCAGGTTCAACTCCCATCAGGCCATCGGGGTTTTGGTCAGAGTCCAGGCAGAGCAGACCATTGCTGTCCCTTCCCCAGTTTCACTAGTGGCTGCTTCCGACCACGTGTTTGCACTGACTTCTGCTCCCACCACCAAAGCAAATATTTAGCTTCTACAGATAATTGAGATTAAAGCCAGACTATCATTTGTGTTAACTCAACCTGGTTTAGAGGTAAAAGCACCCATGTTATTTTGTGAGTTTATAGTGATTCCATTCTCTTTTCTTTTCTTTTCTTTTCTTTTCTTTTTCTTTTAGTCTGTAAGCACATTTGGAAAGTAACCTTAAAAGTCTTATTCTAGCTTTTTTGGCTTTTTTTGATAGTCTCTGGGTTTAGGACAAACTGCACAAAGGAACTGTATATAACAATCTGTTGTTCAGTATCATTGCCTCCCAGAAGTGAGAGCATTAAGGCTGTCTCCCTTCTGAGGTGTGAGACGGATGTTAATAACCCAACCCTAGGGACCCATTATATGCCCATATACATTCATCCCAATTCAGAAAGATTATTTATCTAAACATGAAATGGGTTCAGCCATTTTGCAATTGAAAACAAAGAGTTAGAGAGAGCACGTGCATTACGTTAGAAATGAGTCGTTCTGAGGTGTGTGTGAATGAGCAGCACTTGGAGAGGCCCACAAGGGCACGTCACAGCATGGGGTTGGTAGACCCTGGGCAGGGCTTTGGGTCCAGGTGGATATGAGATCCGATCAGCCTGAACACATGCTTCACAAACCAACCTGGACACGGCACAGAAAGAGGCAAGACTCCGCAGGGCAGCGTCAATGACTTGTACCTTTCTCAAAGAGCTTGGTCCCTGAATCTCCAGGGCAGTTCTGAATGATCAGGTGGGCAGTCACCCTATTCCCCTTGGGCCCACCCAGGGCCATACGCCACACCATGAAAATCAAATAATTTAGAGGACAGGGATATTCAATGACCTTGGCCAAATGTGATGACAGATTTGGGGGAATCCTCTATACCCATTTGAGAAAGGACAAATATTCTTTAGCACTCTAGACAGAAAACTGGCTGATTTAGCTTAGAACAGTGGCTACCACTGTAGCCAATTTCAGAACATCAGAAAGGAAGTGGTTAGGGAAAGGGTGTCATGAAGGTTGCATCCAATGCTGGGTCAGTTACATGTTGGGAGTTGGGGTACAAATTTATCCTCACACACACAGAACACCACAGATCTAATGAACAGTGTGGGAAATCTATTTTCCTACTTCACTCACACAGAACACCTCTCTTCTGTCTCTGGGGTGGTTTTCAAGTTCTAAACTACAATCAGCCCTTCTTTTAAAATAACAATAATAGATCCTCTTATTCAGCCAGATGGTGGTGTTTGTTGCACTAGGCTGGGTTCATAGTACAACATCAATAAATGGCCACATGTAGAGGAATAGACAGAATCCCATTCATAAAACACACCTGCACCGCCCTCTTTCTCCCATCCCAAAATGTTACATTGTCAAAACACCCATGGGGGCTTAATCTCATTTTGGGGAAAAAAGGGAAAATTAGAAAAGGCAAAATAATGTAAGTGAAAAATCAATTTCTTGGGGGAAAATAGTACATTTTGGTCTCTGAGGAGAATGATTATTGGTGGGCTTTTGAAGTGCTGTTTTGCCTTGAGGGGCCAGTTGAGAGGATTCCAAAGGAGTTTTCTCTGGAAAGCTGTCTTGGTGAAGGCTGCACATTGTCAACCAAAGCTATTTCAACTGGGAGATGGAGTGAACACGCTTGCTCAGTGAGTTGGCTGAGTCTTATGAAATGAATATTTGTTCCAATTAGCCTTCTTGCCTCAGAAAACTCATTTTTGAGAGGGAAGGGATGTGTTCAAACTCCCCATGGAAGGGAAACTGATGTACAGGTACGTTCTGTTTCCGGTGGACATGTGCTCGTCCCCGACCTGCAGGACTCGCCCCCTTAGGGACTTTGTCCTTATTTTCCAGGTGGAGGGTAGAAGAGGGGTGCTGACTGGTCTCTACTCCTGCTCTTAATAAGCTATGCTACCTGGTTATGTAACCCTAATCCATGTCCACAGTCCAGGGCTCAGATGGCCGGCCTGTCAGCAAAAAAATGTCTGAAAAATGTTAATTCAACAATGTTGGAGGGATGTTATTTCTAGAGCTAAAGTCCTCAGGGAAAACGAGAAATAGTTGCTCCTGGGATTTAGCTCCTCCACACTGAAAGATATTTCTTTCCTGATGCTTTCTTCCCAAACAACTTCCCAATGCCTGGTGTGCCCTGACATTTGGTCCAAATATAATTCTGGAACAGACTCCTAGGATACAACTGTCTTCACACTCCATATAAGAAGAGCGTTTATTACAGAGAATCAGCATCTATTAGGGCTTGAAACATCAGGGCCTGCTGCTGCTGCTGTCCCCCACACTGAATCACTTCATGATATAGATGCTATTTTATTTTTGGCATCTACAGCAAGCAACTCAGTTTATAACCTAAGGCGTTTTCCATACTCCTAGGCAATGAATACTAGCTTCTTTTGAGTCTCAAAAGCACATAATTTAAGACAGTGGGAAAAGGAGCTGGAGAATAGTTTCCAGTGGAAGGAAAACACCATGCAGATGTTGGCCCTCACTCTTGAATTCTGATGGTGAAATTGAGAATTGTTTATTTGTTCTGAAGTCAAACCCAAGGAATTTATTTTTTACAGGCTGGGGTAGGGGTGGGGAGTAGTGATGTAATATATTACTAATATTGAAATAGTCAACACATGGCCCTAGAATTTTAAATTCCCAAAGAATTTCAGTCTTGTTAACTGGTTGATTTCTCAATCAAATTTGGCACACTAGATGTCGATTCATGTCACAGAAAGGACATAACCTACAGAAACACCCAAGGACTACTTTGCTAAAATTGCCTATTCACCTTTTGTTTTTCTCTCCAAGATAACAAACTAGGAATTGGTCCTCTATCTTGAGCCATTTATTGAGAACGAATAAATGAACTTGGAAAAGACATGACCCAATTGAAATTAAATACCTGACTTTGGTGTATGAGAATCATAAACTTGCTTACGGTCTATCTGGTCCGCAAACACTTCCCCATAAATCATCCAATAGGGCATGTAGAAGATGTTCTTGGCCAATTTCCACGATGGCTCCTCGTTGGGAAAGAGAATGGCTTGCCTGGCAACCCCAAAACTCATCAGCACCACCAGCATAATGATGACAAAGTACATCATGTCTATCATCTGGAAGGGTGGGGAAGCAGAGGGAGAAACAAAAGAAAACTCATATGATTGAGTGTTCCGAGGACACTGACATTTATGGAAACCTTTGAAGGAGGTTCACTTTCCATAATGCTGACAAAGGATGTTTAGATAGGGAGCTGTGTCCAGATAAGAGGACATTCGGTCTATTGAAGCCAATGTTCATCAACTCCAAAATCATTTTAAAGATCCCTCAAACATATGCCCAGTGTAACCCCTTCATTTTCCATTGCTGTCTGTGGGACCTATTCAAGACAAGGCCCGGGAGTCAACACAGAAGCTTGGGTATCTCTATGAATTTAGTACTAACTTTTTCTCTGCCCCTGTGGGAGGCAAATGTTCTTCTTGGTCTTGTTCTTCTTAGCAAAATTGGAATTGAGATAGTTGAACTATTTCAAGAACTATTGCCATGTTGTAAATTCTCTAAGTTCTGAAAAGCTAGTAAAGAAGAGGAAAGTTCAAGAAAATAATCACGGCTCAGCTGGTATGACGCTGTGGCGTGAGCTCGTCCCATGGACTGAGGTCTGGGTTCCATTCCCAGTCAGAGCACATGCCTGGGTTGCAGGCTCAATCCCCAGTAGGGCGTGTGCAGGAGGTAGCTGATCGATATTTCTCTCTCACATCGATGTTTCTATCTCTCTCTCCCTTCTTCTCTCTCTAAAAAAAATCAATAAAAACATATTTAAAAAAATCTCTTGGAAACAAAGCTAGGACAGCAAATATCCATCATATGCCGCCCTGTCCTTGTGGCCCCACCTCATTTCGTGGTATGCTACAACAAACCAGTCTCCAGGAGAACCACTCTGTACTTCTCCAGCATATCCCATCAGGGATGAAGGGTGTTTTTTCAGGCATTAGAATCAGGTGGCCCGTTCCTGTGCCTGCTGTTGAAAGGTTAGATTTTCATCTTGACATGTTTATAAAATTCTCTTGACCGCATTCAAGTACAATGTTATCTCTTGTTCCTCTTTCTTTTTTGTTTGTTTTCATGACATGCTATTTGGGATCTGTTTCTTATATGCCAAATTACTTTCCTTTTTATCACCAAAAATAGAGGAGGATGTACTAATTCTTATTTTATCTGGTCACTGCTTCCTTCTTTTAGAAACAGGTCCCACCCATTTGACCATGAAGGTAGTGTCTTATACCGGCTGGGTTAATTGTGGTACCTCACACTCTCACAATGGCAGTGATCGGAGGGAAGCATGTGACACAAGAATCCAACCAGAATCCTTTCTTTGGATATTTTTCAACTTGAAGCTGGGAGAGAGACACTCCCTTTAAATCTCTGTAATGGTGCTAATTCAGAGTGTCTGAGGCTAAGTGCCCTACTACTGATCGGAGTGAATGAGGCAGATATTTCAGAGAGGGAGAGGGCCAGCATGTCCTGACAGTGGCTGAGAACCTGACTGCAGCAGCCCGTAAGGCCTGTCCCATCATGCCCAGCTATAAATCGATATATCCCCCCAGGGCTTAAGCTAATTGGAGATTAGTTTCTAGCCCTTGCATCAAACCATCTAATACAAAAGACTACCTTCTCTTGAATATCAAACTTCCTGAAGGGATGCCCTCCACAGAGAAAGACAAATGGTAATCTTATCAATGATAACGAAGGCTTTAAATTAGTTTTAAAATTGTATTTTCAAAGAATGCATTCCATGGTGCCTGTTACTGGAATGACAACATTGCATCCCTCCTGTTTGCATTAGGACGCTGGGGGCTCAATATATTTTAGGTCAATTTATTAACTTTCAAGGCAGCTTCAAAATCCATCTCTCCAGTATTTGTGTGACTTTGAAACGAAACAACAACCTCTCAAAATGTGACATTAGTTCTTATTGGTTCACCATCCTTAAAATAGATATGCTAGCTAATCAGTTATTTCGTTTACAACTCAGGGGCCTCAGAACTATCTTCAAATGAGCAAGCCAGCTGTGTTAAAACAGCTCTACAGGAAACAAGGGTCTGCTTCTCGTCTTCGCTCTCTCGTTTATTTTGTAAAATTCTTTCATTATTTATTTACAGACAGTTCTACCAATGAAGAAACACTAATGGGTTTTTCATGTTATATTTATTTAGACTGACTAAAAGGTGGGCGGGGAGAGGAAGGTGTGTACGCATGAGATTTGGGAACTGGTCTGATCCAAGAAAACTCAGCCAGTGAACACAGCAACTGTTCTAACTTCTCAGGACTGTGTTCATTCAGATTAATTGTGATATTTACCTAAAGGGTCAACACAATCAAAGAGAAGAAACATTCTTCCCAAACACTCAACTTTATATATTTCTTAGACGTCTTAGCTTCCATTCAAATACCAAAATCTGGTAGAGTGGAGTGCAGAAAGGGAACATTATTAGTGAGAACTGGGGCTGGCTACCTGTTTTTAAAGCAAAATTGTCCAGTTGGTTCAATATTAAGAGACCTAATTCTAATTCCCATAAATAGGCTTTGATTGTGTTTTATAGAGAAAAGTATATACTGTAGTGGTTCAGCAAATGTTTCAGGTGCCTAAGTTTTTTTTTCATCTTGGCTTTGCTAGTAAAAACAGCTAGGTGGTCTTACTAATCTTGTTTTTTTTTTTTTATTTTTTATTTTCAAAATGGCAATAATAATAATAATAGTGCATATTGTTTCTGTTAGGATTAGATGAGATAATATGTGAAATGCTTCATGTGGGTAGTTTTCAGTAAGTGTTAATGTATAATTATTATAATTGGAAGAAAGGCTGTGGAGTGTGATGGACAGGGATTTGAATCCTGGTTTTGCCTTTGCCCAATTTCAGTTTATTTCACCGTTTAAGGAAGACACTAAAACCTATTTCATGGGGTTGTAATGATGATGACATGTCTGACATGGTATTTGGCAAATAGTAAATGATAACTATTATTGTTTTTATTCTGCATTATATAAGTAAGCTTAACACTAGGCTTAGAGAATTCCAATGAGTAGTGGGATCCTGGATCTAAAGGTCTGTTGGAATCATACTTGATTAGTATTGTATGCAGGTATCTTAGCAGCTCTCTGTCCCCAGACCACAGAGCTCAGTTACTTGGCAGTTGAGTACCGAATAGGGGCTCCCTAATGTTGAGGGACTTTCCGTATAATCACATCTGGGCATATTTTGTTAAGCTTCCAGCCTGACAGTCCATCTGGCTCCTTAATAAATTCTATAGGCATATTTTACCTACCTTCTGGATCAGTGACTCAGTTATTAAACTGATTATCTTAAAAACCCCATGGAGAACAAAGCCCCCAAATATATTCATTTTCTACTTATTCTTGACTGATTAGTGAAGTCATTCATAACTTAGAAGGTAGGAGAAAAAAGCAGTACATCTCTTCTGCTTACTCCATAGTAAGGTTAAATTCTAATAAAAATGGGGATAATTATGCCATCATTACAATGATAGAGGTGAATTTTAAAATAATCTTGCTGCTTTAGTTTGACTTTAGTTACTTCAACTATTTAAATGCCAGCCAATCTTTTTAAAGTGATACATTTGGTTGGTTCGGGTCTTTTCAGGTTTTATTTATTGAAATTAGATAAGGAAACAATCAATTAGAATAAAACAACCCATCAGATTATGTAATCACCTAATGTAGTGATTCTTATGAGAGTGCAGTTTTGTCCCCTACCCCCAGAACATATGACACTATATAAAAATATTGTGTGTGTGTGTGTGTGTGTACACATACTATACTATTGGCATCTAGTGGATAGAAGTTGCTGCTAAACATCCTGTAAGGCACAGGACAGTCCCCAGAACAATGAATTTTCTAGTCCAATATACCAATGGTGTCAAGAGTGAGAAAACTTGGCCTAATTTTGTAGCCGTTATAGTCCTTCACTTTTTTTGGGTCCATTTGCGAATCCATTGGAGAATCTCATGGAAACTTCTCTCTGTTCAGAAAATTCATACACCTACACATTTTTATATATAACCCGGGTGGAGGGTCTACTGATCCTCTCTCCTAAATGTCTTCTGTAGACTCTAAGCTGAGACTGCTAGACATAGACATTGTCACCACAATCTCAAATTCATTACTAAAGTACAAAAAAGATGATATGACAGGCAGTATCATAGAGTAAGATGCATTTTTTTCCTAGTCCAAAATCCCCGATTGAATTGGAATTCAGTCTAACTCAAGCTTGTTGATTTTTTTAAAAAAATTATTTTTGTTACAGATGCTTCTCTTCCCACCCCACCCCCACCTCCACCCCTCGACACCCCCCTCCCGATCCCACTCAAGCTTGTTGAATTTATGTTTTTTCCTCTCTAGAATGAGTTTGGGATATTTTCCCTAAACAATGCTAGTGTTATAAATACCAAGCTTTTTGTAAAAAAAAAGCATTAGGAAAAGAGCAGAATAACTATGTTCACCAATTTCCCCCTTTTCATTGTGTTTTAACAAACATAACATGAACATAATAACAAACACGATTTATCTACTATCTACTATGAGCCAGGCACTGTCGGCTATTTAACATGCGCCATTTCTAATTATCACAACCACCTTACAAGATATACATTTATTGTAACTACTTAAGAAATGAGCAAAAAGAGTTTCAAATGAATTGCTCAAAGTCTCAACCCCTTCCTTTTGGATTCAAGTTCTCCTTCCTGTACGACTTTGTCAGTGCTTTTGTAGGAAGAGTCTTGGTTATTTAAGCTTTGTTTTAGTAGAGTTCCACACACACGTAATAAATATTGATTTGGTGACTGAAAGGTAAGCAGCAATGATGTATCTAGTAAAACTCGAGTAAGAATGATAAAGAACATCTATTGACCAACTGTTGGTTTCAATAGCTCATACATGGAAGTGGAGCAGAGGTTATTAGGAAAGAGGTTTTCAACAAGAGGTGTCTGTCATTGTAGGATGGGTTCCTTGGCTTTCCCAAATATGTCCTGTAAAGGTGAAGTCAAGGATAGACTTATAAAAGTGGAAGAACTGATTTAAAAAAAATAAAAAACAATCCAGACTCTGATTCTCCTTCTGCTGAACCTGGAGAGGGAGACGACCTTCTTGGGCACTCCCAGGTTCACAGTGAGGCTGTTTCTCTAGGGCTTGGTCTTTACGGAGGAAGCCTGGAAACTAGTGTGGTCAAGGAGTGTTGGAACAAGGCCACAGCCCGTGTGGGGAAGCATATTTGCCACTGGGGATTCCTTTAAAAAAAAATAAGATAAGTAGGGCATCATTCTGGAACCTAGTTTTTAACAGACATCATTTTCCAGTAGTGTGACAAGACATATGATATATTGATGGGACTTAATGGTCAATTCAGGCACGGCCTAACAACTGAATTCAAATAAACTATGTTTTTCTTCCCTTTGTGTGGGACAAGGCGTTTTCCTAGCACTTCATAAAAAAAAAAAAAGGCAATATTAAAATCTTCAAAATCGGTTAAATGTTTGGAGTGGAGATGTAACTCATCCTCCAAGATCCAGCAAAAATATAACCTCCGTGTGAAACCGTCCCTGACCTACATTCTCTCTTCTATGTTCCTATCTACTTTATACACATGTGTATTATAGCATTCTCACACTGAATGGTAATTACTTCTCTCCCTCTCATCTTCAGCCTCATGGAATGAGCACCTTTATATACCCAACTCCTAATCCAGTTCTTGGCGCAAAATGTATACTCTTCATATATTTTTCAGGAAGTACATGGGCAAGCGATGGCTAATCGTCCAGTGATGTATATAGAGGTAGTCAAACTCCAGAACACTCAAAAGGAATTAAAAAATAAAACACTCCAGGGCCATTTCAGTTAGACCTTGATAGCAGGCCCAAATGTATTATTTCCCTCTTCTTCTTATTACCCCTCCTCCTTTGAAAATTTATCACATGGAATCAGAGGACTCTGCTTACCATTTTTCCAATCATCATCACATATGGGCCCAAGTACTTGTTCACACCGAAGATGTCTAACAGACGGATATACCAATAAATGATGTTCACACAATAGATGACCCTCCCATCACTCCTGAAGGGCTGGTCTTGGAGACGGAGGATCATTCCGACAGAGAACAGCAGGATGGCTATGAGGTCTGTGACGTTCCAGTACTCTTGCAGCCATACCTTCACTTTCTGTAGTAACTTCCCTGGCTCTGACATCAGAATCTAAAAGACAGGAAAGAGCATGAGGTTAGTGAGGATGTTGGTCTATATTCTCAGCCCAGTTGGAAAGTGCTTGGCCTGTCCATTGACATCAGCAGCTTGTTCTATTTGTCTGCGTCTACTTGAACACTCGCACGTTATACATATACAACTGAGCAAAGCTTGGGCCATCCAGATGCAAAAATTCCAGAGGCAGATATAAATAATAACTTGATCTTTGGGTGACTTTATAATTCTAAGGCAAAAATTAGGGTTCTCCTATTAGATTTTTGATTCAAAATACCCTGTAAATCTCTAAAATCCTCCTTCACCTCAGTAAATGGCACCACTGTATTGAGTTCCTCAGACCACTAACTTGGGAGGACTCCTTGATTCTTCTCTTCCACACCCGGATCCTCCTCACCAACATGTCCTATCACCTCTGTTCTAAATCCAACCTAATCCAGCCACTGCTCACCACCTCCACCACTGTCACTCTCCCAGACGACTGTAACAGCCCTCGAACTGATGTCCCTGCCGCCACCGTTGTCCACCTGCCGCAATAATTCTCTGAGCAGCACACGGAGTCTTTAAAAACTTAAGCCATACTCTGGGTGGTGATTTCACAGTTATATGTGTAGGTAAAAAACTCATTAAGCTATGCCCTTATGAGTTGCTCATTTCCTTACTAGTAAATTATACCTCGATTTAAAACAGAGAGACACTTGAGAGATACATGAACAAGAATAAAAACTAAAGCCAACTATGATAATTGAATGCCCCAATCTTCTGATGGCTTTCATCACACACACACTCCTTACTGTGGCCTTATCTGACGCCCCATCACAGTCTCCTCACTCCCCACCATGCAGCCACGGTGGTCTGCTCTTACTCATGACAAATCCATCCTATGTTCAGGATGTTTGCACTTGGTCCTTCTGTTGGGCACTTTTCTTCTCCCGGATTTTTATGTGTTTGGCTTTTCCTCATCCTCAAGGTCTCTGCTCACATTTCTCCTTCTTAGGAAGACCTTCTTCCTTGGATACCCGACCTGCCGTGGTCTCCACAGCCCCATGTCACTCTCTAAAATATTACCCTATTTTATTTTTTGAAGATGTTATCACAATATAAAATTAACTTCTGTATGCATGTATAGTATGTGTGTATCTATGTGTCTGCCTATTTATCCATCCATCCATCCATCCATCCATCCGTCCGTCCGTCCGTCCGTCTTCTCTCTCCACTAGACTGTAAACCCTGCGGGCAGACCCTGTGTTCCCCAGAGCCTGTTACATAATTCTCAATAAATATTTGTGGACTGACTGGTTGTTGCATGGACACCTCACAGCAAGTCTCCAGTCCCTTAACTGCTGGGTGGGGCTTACACACACTCTATGAAATGCACTTACATAGCAGGACTTGCCATCCATCCAGTACCACGGCCTGCCCCAGGATATGCGGAGTCAGGGCCGCCAGCCCACGGAGGCCATGGAGCAGGGCTACTTGTATGAGTCATTTGTGTTTACCCCTGAGACTTCCATCTCTTTGAGCTCTGACCCACCCCTTTCCCAACTCAGAACTTCTCAAAGGAGAGAGAAAACACCGGGGATAGTTCTAATCAGCAGCCATGAATTTGAATGGGCATATCCCTCTTTATGGCTTCCTTTGGCCTGAAATAATAAGGAACGGAGGTCTTTGTAAGTCAGGACCAGGGCTTAGAAGGCTAAGCCAGATACCAGGAGCCACCAGGTAGCCTCATTCCTAAAACAGGCCTTCTTAACCATTGGCACGCATCAGAATCACCCGGAGGGCAGTGAACCACAGGTGGCTGGGCCCCGCACCTGGACTTTCTGCTCCAGTTTGCCTGGTGTGGGATTTGAGGACTTATATGTCTGACAAACTCCCAGGTCAAGCTGGTAACCACAGGTTGAGAACCACTGCCCCATCCATCAGGAGTGCCTGCAGCTGCTCTTGTCCTGGTGGCTTCTCACCCAGCTCTGTCCTAGGTAGGCAAAACCCTGTGCACACGTGTGGGGGCAGGGGGCGGGGGCCCTGGAGTTTCCCTAACCCTTTGCCCACACTCTCCTAGAACTGTTCAACATAGAGGCTGATAGTATAGTTTTTTTAAATAGTGAAAATATTCTTGTGACATCTCAACATAAAAAAAAGTTATAAACTAACTGGCTGGAAGGGAAGAGCTGGAGTGAGAAACCGAGCCCCCCTCCCCCCCTCTCACTTGCTCAGCTAGTTCTGAGGCGCCCCTTAGAGCCCCGGGGCTCGGAGGAGCACCCCAGCTTGGAACCCACTGCGTGAGTGGAAAGAACGGTGGGCCCAGAGGGGGACCAGTCAGGTTTAAGACCTAGTTCCCCTTTCTAGCTGTGGATACAGAAAACAGCTCAAACCCCGAGTTTTACTACCCATGTCAGCGAAGTGGGACTGTCATAACAGCCGCCCCCTGTACCTCACAGCCGTGGGAGGACCCAGCGAGACCAAGTCCACCAGCACGCTGTAACAGCTCCGTGCTAGAAGGGGTTCCGCGCTCGCTCTGGTGACTACATGCAGAAGTATGTGGTTCTGGGAATGGGAGGGCAGCCTGGGAAACCACAAAGCTCTGTGGATCCCGCCTCAGGAGCCTAAGCCTTTTCCACGTATCCAGGATCTCGCGTCTGAGATCCTGCACGCTGACCCGGGTGAAGGTGGATCTGCGGGCTTCAGGCCCTGGGCAGCTGAGCAGTTCTTTCATGGGTTCAGGGCCGTGGGGTGCGGGGTGCGGGCGCCGCCTCAGGCTGCAGACGAGGAGGTCCGTGCCTCCCTGCTCACAGCTCCCTGCGAGGCGAGGGCCCTCCGCTGACCCCCTGCTGACCCCAGCTCCAGGCCTCTCTGCTATTACATGCCACCTCAGGAGAAATGGATATCCAGGCCCTGAGGTTCCTGGCAGCCCGCCCGCTTGGCAGCCTCTTCCAGAACAGTCTGTGGAGTACAGACTGCTCCCTGTCTTCTTCCAGTCTCGTCCCTGGAGAGAGTCCAAGCTCCCTGCTCGAGTCTTTCCCTTTTCTGCTTGTCGTGGGGAAGGAGTAGGCATCTGGGTGTTAAATCACGGGAGGGCCAGCTGCCCTGGGCAGGGCCCGCCTCCATCCCCGGAGCTGCAAGGCCAGAGCACTGGCCCCCGCTCCCAGCTCGCGAAGGGACCGCCGGGTCAGGGAGCAGGGCCCGCGCAGCGGTCAGAACAGGGCAAGAAGGCAGGGCTTTTTCTTCTTTTTTAATCTACTCCTTTAAAAAAATGGAAGTAGTGTACCCACAACCAAACTCTCGGGAGGGCGGCATGCTGGCCAGAATTTAAATACTCCCAAAGCACTTTAAAAACCCAAGAGAAGGGTTCGAAATATATGTATGTGATTTAAAAAAAAAATGTTCTCAATAGGAAGGTGTCTAATAGGTATTACATCTTTCTCTCTAGAGGAGAACATTCTAGAGCGAAAGCCTAAGATAGTAAGGGCCTTTCAACCTGTTTTAGTAACGAAGACAAGGGTGAATTTGTGGATTTGCAGGAATCGTTTTTCCCCTGGAACCTAATTTATTTCCCCACTCACTGTAGTACAGAGAGTAGGATTGTTCAGGAGTTGTAGAGGGTGCAGGAGACTTCACCCGGGGCGATGCTTCCGGAAAGGCCTCCCCTGCAGACTGTAGTTTCAGGGGGGGATGCAGAGGAATCATCACCCCTGCCTTCCCTCTGGGTCTGGGAACGGGAGCGCGGGGAGCCCATGAGCAGGGCTGCAGAGCCCTCTGGTGGACGGTTGCTTGACTACGTTCATTTTAGCGGTTCTGAATCTGGTAGCCTCTGAGGCTAGCTTTGACGTCAAGTGTCATATGGGGGTGGTATTATGGAGGCTCCTTGCACTCATGGGGGTGAGGCGAAGGAGAGTGGGACCTACACCCTCAGCCTGAAGGATAAGAAATATGCTCAAGCCTGGCCGGTGTGGCTCAGTAGTTGAGCGTCGACCCATGCACCAAGAGGTCGCCAGTTTGATTCCTGGTCAGGGCACATGCCCAGGTTGTGGGCCAAATCCCCAGTGGGGGGCATGCAGGAGGCGGCCAATCGATGTGCTCTCTCATCGATGGTTCTATCTCTCCCTCTTCCTTCCCATCTCTCTAAAACCAATAAAGAAGAAAAAGAAGAAAAAAAAGAAATATGCTCAAGTCACTCCGGTGATGCCCAGGGTTGGTGGAAAGGCGGGTGCCCAGCAGGTGCATACTAAATATTGAGAAGGAATAAACCAGAGAATGAATTAACCTCCTAGAGCTGCACAAACGCATTCGGAGAATCATAGGTGTTGGTGGACCCTGTCCAAAGAGACCCAGAGTGAGAGGTTGGCAATAGAGGTTAAAAGTGAAAACAATAAAAAAAAATAAAATAAAAAGTGGAAAAAATGCAAAAGTATATTTCTATGGAGTAGTAAAAAGTTGTAAATAGCGTTGAAAAGAACTTGAGGGTTTCTTGGGCCAGAGCGATATTCGCAAAAAATGGGCTAAGTTCCAAGCGCTCAGTGGGGTGACCGCCCTGTGCACACCCTGAGGTCCCCCAGGTCCGTCAGCAGCCCGCAAAGCCAAGCCCCTGCTGCTGCAGCTGCATTAGGGAACATGCTCTCTAACACTCTGGATTAATCTGGATCTCGAGCGTCGCCCTCGCCCCTCCGCGCACAAATGTGACTAACCACTGTCTCTCCTCAGTTCTCTTTTATGACGGTGGTTACCTCTCTCATCTTTTCTATTCCCAGGGTGAAAATGTAGGAGATGACGATCCATTCCTGGGTGGAAGGCCAGCGCTCCATCTTCACTAACACGATATAGTTGAAGAGCATCAGGTATCCGATGTAGGCGAGCTGTAGGGAAACACAATACAGTGCTCTGGCTGCACAGCCCCGGGAGCCCTGCCCTTGGGCAAGGCCACCGCCTGGCAGGACAGAACAAGGTCAGCACGCAGAACTCACGGCGACATGAACTTCAAAGCTGCCAACTATCAAAAGGATGTAAAAAGCCTGTAATATTTGAAACAATTTGGTAGGCAATCTCCCTTTTGACGCTTGCATTTGTCCGTGTCACACTGCACCATTTTGTTTTGCAATTACACAGCCTCTCGTGTCTTCCTGGCTGAAGAGGGAACCTCTTCCCTCAAGGGCTGCTCTTGCTCGTGCAGGAGACTCAGGCTCCTGAACTAGGGACAATGCCATGGGCTTTTGCCTAATGAATGCCAGGTGGAGTCAGTGTCAGTAAGAAGGAAAAGAAGACACTTGCTATAGTTGTAAATTGGTCAAACCCACATAAAAATAGCCTGGGCTTTATCTAAAAGCCCGGCTTCAATTCTCTTCCGAGGCACTGTCTTTTTTTCCCTCCTACCCTACCTGGCAGGGTTAACCTATTTCCCACTGCACCACTTTTCTGCTTCATTCAAGTCGGAATATTTCCTTTCTGGATTCTGCTTCTTTGAAACAAAACAAAACAAAAGGAAACAGAGCAATATAGAAAGAGGTGGCCGACTGTGCGGCCATTCTGTGTGGCCGACTGGAGCTGGGAGGGGGGTTTCATCCTCATGAGGCTTAGCACCAGACTGTTCGACTGGCTGAACTGCCGGGTGTCCCTGGAAAACTCAGTTCAGGTTTGGCGATGTCACTGGTGGATTCAGTTACGTCTAGATGAGTGGAGGGTAGGAGGGCTGTGAGGTTCTTGCATAAGGGGCCGAGGAGCCTCTGGTGGAAAAGCTCACCTAGGGGGACGGCGTTAAGTCATCCTTTTCTAGGCAATGCTACAAGGTGAGTAGGCCCTTGCTGGCTTTAGGGGCCTCAGGGGCTGTGAGTAGAAAGTAAGAGTGAGTTTATTCAAGGAGAAGGCATAGCAAATAGGACACAGTGTGGGCAAAGGATTGAGGCCTTGCGGGTTCTGGAGATACAGTGTGACTCTGGAGTCCCGGGGGCAGCTGAGAAGGTGGAGAAAGATGCAGTGTGGCTGCGAGATACAGACAGAAACTGGCGGCTACAGAGCTAGAGAAATGCTGCTTTCTCACTGATGGGGTTGCCTTCCTTCCTTCCTTCCTTCCTTCCTTCCTTCCTTCCTTCCTTCCTTCCTTCCTTCCTTCCTTCCTTCCTTCCTTCCTTCCTTCCTCCATAAATGCATAGATTCTTAATATGAGTCAAAGGTATTTTCTGCGACCCTATTACATTGGCACATTTACAGACACAGCCATATAATTTGTCATCTCTTGAAGGGTGACCATTTAGGTCAGAGCTCCATCAGCTCACACATGAAGCAGGAGGGCAGCTGGTAGGCGCTGGAGGGCCACAGGGCTATTCTCCACCTGGACGGTCACTGTAATCTGGGCCTCGGTGCCTACCCCTTCAGTATCATTAGCACATTGTGAAAACCTCACCTGAAAGAGTCTCCTCTACCTGAAATCATGTAGGAATGACATTTGGTTCACCGGGTTCCTGGTTACCACTAGACACTGGCATCACTCTGTGCATAAGGTATTTCTTTACAGAACACAAAGAAAGGACTTCGATGGTTAAACTTTAAAATATACTCTCAGCCTCTTTCTGACCTGAAATCCTTCTCCCTTTCTGGTTGCCTCCTTCTCTTTGTTGGATCCTGTTCTATTGCTTCTAGGTGAAATGAGTCTTGTTTACTGCCCTGGTTTTTATCATTTTACCCAGTTCATTGCAAAACATTCCAAAGCATGATTTTCTCTCGCACAGGTAGGCCCAGCGACACACACAGATTCTTTCGGAACCTCTGCATTTTAGTACTTAAGTACAGGTGTGCAATCAGAGAGAGTGGGCCTTCCGTTCCGACCACTGCAATAAAGCGAGGCCCGCAATAAAGCGAGGCCCGCAATAAAGCGGGTCGTGATAGTTTTGCTGGGGGAGGTCTTGCCTTCAGTTTGTAAAAGACACAGCATCTGTGAAGCTGGATAAAGCGAAAGTGCATTAAAACGAGGTGTGCCAGTAACTCCTCCAGCCTGGTCCGTGCTTTGAACACGGGCCTAGTGTTGGTCTGAGGGAAGGAATTGTGTTTGGGGAAAGGAATGTAGGTCTAGAAGTCAGTAAAGCCTGGGTTTAAATCCTCTCTCGAGTGCTTGCTGGCTGTATCATTTTGTGTGTTTCATTTCACCTGCCTGGACCCCCATACTGTGAAATGGAGACGATGGCTACTGACCTTCCAGAGCTTTTGAAAGGACTGGGGTGTCGGTGAGAGGGGTATGCATTTCCTGGCAGCGTGGAGTTTCGGTGAATGGTGGTTAATTTTATTCGCCTCTTTTGTCAGGTTTTTATTCCTCTTGTCTTCTTTACCCTCAGTCTGTGCTTCCTTTTGATCCTGTTAACTATTCAAACCTCTCCTTTGTTTCCTTTTAAAAATTGCCCTCATTGTTTCTGCTTCTTCCATGATCATTCTTTTTAGTGCCTGCCTGTCCTTTAAATCACAGTTACTCTATAGTGTTCTTCTTCCCATAATCAAGCTATAATATAATATTCTGGGACAACTCTCAAAATACGGACTTCCACAAGGAGGGCTTCAAACACGTTTAAATGGCACAACGGAGGAGCAGTGCCGTGCTGGGTACAACCTGTCTTAGAACTTGCCGACATTCCTGGGGCCCGCGGCAGGCGACCTTGACAGACGTACTTCAATGGTGTGTGTGTGTGTGTGTGTGTGTGTTCATGCACACGTATTCTGTGAGTTTTAACAAGCTGGATGTAGCATGTCAAAGCTTTGAAAAGAAATATCACCTATGATTCTTATTTAAGCCAGTGGGAATCCTATAAGGATGTGTATTTTATATGCTTACATATTCTTTGCAGCAATTTCTCATTAATCAAGATGCATGCCTCCTAACCTATGAAGTGCAGGCGCCAAAGCTGCTGCAGCTGCCTGTGGGTCCCTGGTGGGGCTGTGCCGTTCCTCACCTCCGTCCCCACTGCCCTAGAGAGTGGACGAGCACGTGGTGACAGTAGGGGGAGGAGTCGTCCCTGCTGACCAGAGCACAGCCCTGCCCTCTGACCTGGTGCCACTCACACCTTGGGTTTGCATCTCCTCCAGCTGGGTACTCGGAACAACTCTGATCACGAACATGGCCCCGAGCCCACTGGATCCCTCCCTCCTTTCCTCTGGGGACAGAAGGGCCCCGCTGCTCCTCCGGGAACGCGCTATGATGCAGGAGTGAGGCCCTGCGCACACAAGGCGTGTCCCACTCCCAGGACCTTGAGTGTGGAGAAGGGGACGCTTGCAGACGGAAGAGTGTGAAATACTCGTACAGAGGAGAACACAACCTAGAGCGAATGGCCTCCCTGGTCTACAGCCGAGTTTTACGGTAAAGCTTCTCTGCAGTTTAAAAGGTTGGCACGCCCCGTCTCCATTTAGCTCCTTGAGGCTGGGCTTTGTTGATACATAAATATGGGTTTCTGAAAATCGGGTCAACACAATCCAACGTGACTGGAGCATCCAGTCGGATGGGTTTCCTGAAGCTACCCAGCCGGCCACGCAGAAGGGACTGGGTACACGCGCCCCACTTTGCAGAGAGGCAGCTTCGCCACCAGCCGCCTGTGGTACAGGCCCAGCAGCGGGTCCCAAGCTTCCTGCACCATCAGACTCACCTGGGAAGCTCGTTAAACACACGGCTTCTCAGGTTCCTCTCCCCGACACTCCATTCGTGGGTCTGTGCCGGGGCCTGGAATTTGCATTTCTAACAAAACCCCTTATCATCGTGGAAGTTTTGGCGACTTGGGGATAAAAACTGGGCCTTCCTTCTGGGGTTGTGGTGGTCAGTTCTGGCTGCTCATTAAAACTGCCTGGGCGCTTGGAAATACCCCGCTGCCCAGGCCCTGCTCCAGACCGATGACGTCGGACTGTCATCAAGGCGTAGCCCGGGCTCAGAACCACCCGGGCATTTGTGATTTTAAAAGGTTCTTGGCTAACAACTTGCCTCAGCTGAAAAAAAGGAGGACTACAGTAATCAAGGAAATAGATGAATACTGAACACAGGCCAAGGAAAAACCGGAACTGCCTTGGAAGGGTACGAGAAGTGGGGCCTCTGGATAAAGGTGATAGATAATTCTGCCGGCTTGTTTTATGCTCTCGGGCAGGAGCCTGCAAACGTTGTGTGTCAAGGGCCAGGTCGTTAACTTTTAAGGCTTTGTTGGCCTGACGGCTCTAATGCCTGTGATCCACTCGGCAGTTGTCGCGTAAAAGCGGCCAGGGTACGGGTGCATGGGTGAATCTGGCTGTGTTCTAATAAAACTTTATTTATGGACACGACAGTGTAAATCTATCATTTTTATATGTCACAAAGTATTCTTTCTCTGATTTTTATTTCAACTCTTTAAAAGTGTAAATCCAGTCTTAGCTCACACGCCCGGTAACGGGCTGCGGCTGGGTTGGCCCCTGGGCTCTAGTTGGCCAAGTCCCATTCTAGTGAGACACTCGGGCAGCCCTGGTACAAGAGGACGGGCCCACCTGAGGGTAAAGTGCAGTGAAAACGTTACCTTGATGAGACGGTTAGGTTGGGGAAAGTGTATGTGAACACCTAGAACAATGTCTCATAGTAGGTGTTCAATAAATGACATTATATTATTGTTGAGTGGACGGATGAATGAAACACTAACTGCTGCCCTTCAGTGGAGCTAGCCTGGGAGCAACGAGGTTGTTTATAGTGTGCTTTCAAGGCACTGTTCTTAGCGCTTTGCAGACTTTGACACATTTAATCTTTACGAAACCTCATCTAGTAGGTACTATTATTATCCCCATCTTGAGAAAACTTGGGACAGAGTGCTCAAGTAACTTGCTTGGTGTGACAAGTTACTTTCCTAAGAGTCACAGACAGGATTTCTACGCAGGCTGTCTGACTCCAAAGTCCACGCTTGTCACTAAGTTGTTTTCTGCAAGGGAAAAAGAATATGTCTGTATAAAACATGAATAGAAATCATTTTTTGCATGCCCTTGTTATTCTTTTTTGAGGGAGAATCTTTTTAACATTCATACATTTACATTTCACTCTACTAAAAAAAAAAAAATCGAATGTTTGTATTTTGATAGTACCTAATCTTCTCTCAAGACCATACTTTGAAGCAGTGGTTTTCAACTGGTGGCAATTTCACCCCACAAGGGGACAGTTGGCAATGTCAGGAGACATTTGGGTCGTCATAATTGGGGCGTGAAGAGTGTTACTGGCATCTAGTGGACAGAGGTCAGGGATGCTGCTAAATGCCCAACATGTCAATAGCGCTGAGAAAGTCTCGTGGAAAGCCAGCATTCGGTGTGAGCATACAGGACCACACTGCCAGCATTCCGTGTGAGCACACAGAACCCCACAAAAAGCACCCCATCTGGCCATGTCAGCCACTGTGGCTTCAGACTCCAATTATCCTGTTGCTGACTCATGTGACTGGTATGTACATGCTTGTGAGAAAGACCAAAAATATAGATGCACTCACTCTCCTTCCTCTGGCACAGTCCTGCTGTGGCCGGACAGAAGCCAGGGTGACCGGGGCCACAGCGCAACTTAAACTGTCGTTGAAAAGGAGACGTAGAAACCCAACTGTTGAGCCATTTGTACCACATCAGGAGGCTATTTCAGGGACGATCTTTCATCTGGTGGGCATACTCGTCGGCAGGGTGTGCTTACTGAACGGTATCTGCCACCACTGCAGTTGGCTGTGGTAGTTCTTGCTGCCTTATGTCAGGGCCAGAAGGGTTGCTGGATGATACTTCCCAGGTTGGAGTAGTGACACAGCAATGCTGTCATCTTCCGTGGTGTCACTCCAACACTGCCCAGCCCGTACCCACCAATGTCCCCCAAACCCAGACTAGCATCTAAAACGGGCAACTCTGAAGCCCTGGCTAGGTAGCTCAGTTGGTTAGAGCATCGTCCCAACACACTAAGGTTGTGGGTTCAATCCCTGGTCAAGGCACATACAAGAATCAACCAATGAATGCGTAAATAAGTGGAGCAACAAATCCATCTCTCTCTCTCAAATCAATAATAATAATAATAATAATAATAATACCACAACAACCCACACAACAGGAACTCTGATCCACTGCTCATCCATCCAAAACAGGGAAGTGTTTTATAAAATGACATCTATTTTCCTGCTAGACTAGACTCATTCTCATCTCACCTCTATTTCTGTTAGTTCTCACTTTTACTATTTCCCTTACTTTCTGCAAGGAGGGGAAATGCAGAAGCTATGGAAGCTGCCTCACAAACCCCACTAATCTTTCAAAGCTATTGGATGAAGCAAGGTCACCTGGAGCTTTCCTTTCTGCGTGTGGTCCTTGTATTAGGACTCTCAGAGACACCACCCAGGTGCAGGAGAAATTGACATCGGCTGCTTGTAGCCACCCGCAGGAAGAAGGAAAGGAAAGATACTTACAGTGTAGAACCAGAACTTCACGATGGGTGCATTGTAGAACTCATAGATTTTTCTGCCCAAGGGGATTAACCTGTGCCTGCTCTGAACTTCTTCTTCATCCTTCTTCCGGGAAGATTCTCCATTGCTTCGTCCCAACATTGCCTGCAGTGAAAGACAATTAATATCATCACAGAAGTGCTCTGGAGGTCATGGAGTTCAATGCATTCATGGACCGATGAGGAAAACATGCTCACAGAACCTTAGGGCTTTGTCCAAGGCCCCCAGAGATTTAGAGATGGTGCCTTCCCTAGGTGTGCATTTCATTGTATATAGAATCTGTGTACCTCAGCTAGAATGGAAGCCCTTAGGGATATTTCTTGACTCTTCTAGCCTGGGGACCTCTGAAATATTTGAGTGATGGAAGATACCCAGAATTCAGAGAGGGAGAGTTGTTGGCCATGAATCTGGTTTTGCTCCCCCCCCGCCCTATGTATCACGATACAGGCAGATTGTGTCTTCACTCATGCTAATGACTCTAAAGTCAAAGGTAAATTGGACCACTAATACTTAATTTGTCCAAAGGCTATGAGTATTCCAGAGGTTATTGGAGGGCCTGGAGCTTACTCAGGTTAGAAACATCTCCCCAACCCTTTGGCATATGTCTTGGTTCTCTGATTTCAAACACTGTAGAACCAAAAATTACTGCTGGAGTTAGTTTCAAGGCAACTCCTGGGCACACTACCTTCCTCTGCATGGCAGAGTCAACCAGGTGAGACTAGGAGAAGTCAGGCATGGACTGGAGAGGCCCTCCTCTCGAGCTGTTGGAGATTTCCTTCAGAATGAAAGTATTTTCTTCTCATTCATGACAATAGCAGCAGCAACAACAACAATAATGATTAAACATTGCAGAAAAGGCAGAATTTGAGAAAAAACCTGACATATGTCCGTCTGGATGGCAAGTGACAGGATGCCCCAAAGATGGCTAAGATCCTAATGGTGAAGAGTTCCAGGCTGTGGGTCACTCCGAGGACCGAGTCCTAATTTGGACACTTAGAATCCATGGCATCTTGGACAAGTCTTTTAACCTCTCTGAGAGTTAGTTTCTTTGTATAATGAGAGTAATACTTTCATCTGCTATAGAGTTGGTCTATAGTCAATAAGCACTTGGCACTTAATAAGTGCTCAGTAAGTATTAGCTAGTCTTTATTTTTTATTTATTTATTTATTTTATCCTCACCCGAGGACATTTTTTGATATTTTGTTCAGATAGAGTGGAAGGGAGAGAGAGAGAGAGAAACATCGACATGAAAGGGACACATCGAGTGGTTGCCACCCGTACAACCCAACCAGGGCCGGGGACAAACTGCAACCGAGGTACGTGCCCTTAGCAGGAACCGAACCCCGGTCTCTTCGCTGTAACCGCTGAGCCAAACTGGCCAGGGCAGTATTCGCTAGTCTTTAAACCGATCTGACACTTTCTCAGATACTGTTGACTGAAATGATCTATTTGGTCACCAGAAAACAAAGTATGTTATTAAAAGTCTATTACAGCATACTTCCTTGGTGTTAATTCTTTCGATATCATTCTAAGACAAGGTTATTTCTACAATGGGAAATAAAATTTTTATTAAATGTGAGAACAGGGTAAAACCTTTTAACTGCATAGAGACTAACAAAGATTTGGGACAAGAAAAAGCACCGGAGCCCAGCTGGTGTGGCTCAGTGGTTGGGTGTTGACCCAGGCACCAAGGGGTCACCGGTTTTATTCCTGATCAGAGCACATGCCCAGGTTGTGGGCCCAATCCCCAGTGGGGGCATGTAGGAGGTGGCCAATCAATATTCTCTCTCATTGATACATCTTTCTCTCTCTTCCTCTTTCTTCCTCTCTCTCTCAAGTCAACAAAGAAAAATATTTTTTAAAAAAGCACTGGAGCCCTGGCCAGTTTTGCTCAGCGCTTAGAGCGTTGGCCTATGGACCAAAGAGTCCCAGGTTCGGTTCCCGCTAAGGGCACGTACCTTGGTTGCAGTTTGTCCCCGGCCTTGGTTGGGGTTGTGTGGGTGGCAGCCACTCGATGTGTCTCTCTCACATCGATGTTTCTCTCTCTCTCTTACCCCCCTCTCCCTCCTGCTCTATCTGAAGATAAATGAAAAAAATATCCTTGAGGGAGGATAATAAAATAAAGAGCACTGGAAATACAGGTTTCAAGTTGAGACATCTAATTATAGAAATAATTTCTGGTTATCTTGAAGTTGAGAACACAGACAAACACTAGATAATTCTGGTTTCAAACTCCCTTACATAAAATATAAAATATTAGTTTCAACTGTTTTGGTCATTGTCTCAAATATCCACTTCACTCACATATGTAACTATCACAAATGATCTCCTGTAAACAACAGGATTTCTGGAGGAGGTAACTCCTGTTCCTTTATGGACCCTTTGGCTAAAAAAGTACCTTGAGTTAATGAATCGGTAACATTCGATACGGTGGCCTATTTAGGTGTTGATTTTGGTCAGTAGGTTGAATCAATCTTCATGACAGATATAGCAAACTAGAAAGGAATAGAGTTCCATAAATATTGATCACTGACTCCAAGAAACTCCGAGGTTACCTATTTGTCTCTGTATAATTTATAACTTATATAACATAAACACAATCATCCTCCTTCTGTTTGCTTATTTGTATGCTCAGCAATACAATGCTATTTGGGGACACAGTGAGATGAGAGTGAAGGCAGTTTGGAGGGTTTAGGGACCTTGGAGAGTGGCATCTTCAAGTAACCTCTAGGGACAGTGGCCCTGGGTCTGTGGACATGTTGGGACTTTCTTAGGCAAAATGCAAGACATTTATCTGGCAATGTAGGTTAAATAAAAACAAAAATTCAGCAACCTGTTTTGCTTTATTATTCATATATATATACACATATATATATATTCTAAAGTGAATGCATTTTTAAATGGCTTGTCTTTCATGAGTTTAAGTAAAACATTTACATTTTTTTGTTTTTGTTCAGGTAGAGTGGGAGGGAGAGAGAGGAATAGAGAGAGAGAGAGAGAGAAACATCGATGTGAAAGGAACACATCGAGTGGCTGCCACCCGCACGACCAACCAGGGCCGGGGACAAACTGCAACCGAGGTACATGCCCTTAGCGGGAACCAAACCTGGGTCTCTCAGGACCGCAGGCCGACGCTCTAACCGCTGAGCCAAACCGGCCAGGGCAACATTTACATTTTTAAAATGTATTGATTTTAGAGAGGGAGAGGAACATGGATTTGTTGTTCCACTTATTTAAACATTCATTGGTTGATTCTTGTATGTGCCCTGACCAGGGGACCAAACCTGCAACATTGGCATATCTGGAAGATACTCTAACTAACTGAGCTACCCAGCCAGGGCCTAAGTAAAGCAATTTTGATATTTTATTAATTTCACCTTAAGCAGCTTAATTTGCTGATCTTGTTGGTTTATTTTTCCCCAGAAGTAGTTTTTTTACCTACATTCCTTTTTTTATTATTATTATTTTTTTTAATCCTCACCTGAGGATATTTTTTCTATTTTTTGTACAGATAGAGCGGGAGGGAGAGAGAGGAAGGGAGAGAGAGAGAGAAACATCGACGTGAAGGGACACATCGAGTGGCTGCCACCCGCACGACCAACCAGGGCCGGGGACAAACTGCAACCGAGGTACGTGCCCTTAGCGGGAACCGAACCTGGGTCTCTCCGGACCGCAGGCCGACGCTCTAACCGCTGAGCCAAACTGGCCAGGGCCTACATTCCTTTTTTTAAAAAAATATGTTTTTATTAATTTTTTAGAGAGAGAGGAAGGGAGAGAGAGATAGAAACATTGGTGTAAAAGAGAAACACTGATCAGCTACCTCCTGCACCCCACCCACTGGGTATTGAGCCTGAAACATGGGCATGCGCCCTGACCGGGAGTTGAACCTCTCAGTCCATAGAATGATGCTCAATCCACTGAGCCACAGTGGCTGGGATTTGCCTACATTCCTTAAAGCAGAATGTAACAGGGTCAAATACAGACAAACTTGCACACTATGAATTTGAAAAAAATCTTTGCTACCTGAACACAGACGTCAAGTCTGGGTAAGATGCTTTGAGGTGAACTAAGCTATTAAATGCTACTAAAATTAGCAAACCACGGCTGATATTTCATGTATAAGTTTGGAAGGGCAAAGAGAAAATGTCCCATTCCAAGAGAGAAAAGACTGCTTTTACACAGAAGCTGAAATACCAATTCTATAAAAAGAGCAGATGTCAACAAGCTGCATTCTCCAATCCTGTCCAGGGTGAGCCAGTACCAGGGTCCGAGCAGTGACAATACTTGTCATTCGGGTCAAGGGAAGCTCCACCTTCCAGCCCACAAGCCCCTTCCTTCGTTCCTTGTCCCTGCTGCTCCAGCCTGAGGGGAAGAAGCTTGGGCAGAAACACTATTTTGGTGTCTTCTACTTGGGTTCTCAAAAAATAACTACAAGGTCTGTTCTCTGGGAAGCAGACTTGGCTCTCAGTCCAGAGACGCATCTTTGCAGTAGCTTCTTCAAGGATCAGGTCCCCAAAACTCTAGACTGAGCAGGAGAAGGAAGCTTCCCTCTTTGTCTTCTTCCTTGAAACTCAGCCAGAAAGACTACTGCCTTCAGCTTCTGGCTACCTTCCTAAGAAGTATGCCAAAGTCAAGGCCATGTCACACTGCTACATGGTGGATCAAACCAGCCGAGGTCCACACGTTAGCATCCCTCAGCCTATCAGCTAAAAGCAGGGCCGATGGGTCCTCATGCCAGCTTTACAACAAATTAGCTGGGTAACTTGGGCAACTTCACCTCTCTGAGTCTCAGCTTCCTTGTCTGTAAAATGGGATGAATTGGTACCTACCCGTGGGACTGTGGTGCGGAGTCCATGAGCAAGTACGTGTGAAGCATTTAGCACTGTTAGAATAATACTAGCAAACGTGTATCAAGGCTTACCGCGTGCTAGACACCAGGCTGCATAGTTTACATATACCCTTTTTATACAGTTTACAGGCACCTGTAAGCTATTATTATTCCCATGTTAGAGGCAAAGAATCAGTGCTTGTGGTTCCAGAGTGAGCAGAAGACGGGGCAGGATTCTGGGTCCAGGACATACACTCTTTCCCCCCTGCTGAAGTCGTCGATAAAGATTCTGTAGTACCACTATAGGGCTTCTGCTAATAACCAAAATATCTCCTATCCTTGAAGGGGTCAGAGGCCAAAATTATGGTAAGGTCTTTAGGGAAGACAGTCACTCGCATCATAGAGAGACGTGGACTCCACCCATTTTTATAAATTGGAACTGAACGTGAACATTGGCTTTAAACTCAGTGAGTCAAAAGCTGCGAATAATTAATCAATACACAGAATGGCCCCACACATATAGCCTGTTACCATGGGGCTGAAATTGTGCCCGAAAATAGATCTTTAGAAAGGACCTGCTGGAAGGAAATATTGTTTGTTTGAAGGAAAAACAACAACAGCAACAATTCACAGAGTGGTCCTACTACGATACTGATGCAAAGGCCTTTGGTCACCTGAGCAAAACCAATTTTTGTTTTCTCCCCTTACAGCTTCTCCGGGTCATCACAGTCACTGGTCAGAGTGCCGGGGAGGGTGGGGAATATCAAGGAAGTCCTGCGGAGTTGTAGCCTGATGTCTCCAAAGCTATGAAGCCTTGTTTGTCCCCTTAACAGCATGTGATATTTTTAGACCTTGGACAGAAGCCCGTGGCAGTCACGCCGCTCAGGCGGGGGTTGCGGGACGCTGTCCCATGCCCAGCTGCCCTGTTCCCCCTGCAGAACAAAGCATCCCTGCTCTATAACTGTACCAGGAAGAGCTAATAAAAGCCTTCTATACAAACCTCAAAATTCAATTAGTCCTGCATTGTGAGCCTGACCCTGAAGACAGATAAAGGCTTAGCTTCTGATCAGAAGAACAGCTCCAGCGAAGCCGGCTGCTCCCAAATCACGCATCCCCGTTCCTCCCTGGTGTGCCAAGGCTGCCGCACCACCTGGTTGCTTGTAACGCACTGCCTGTTTGGAAAATTTAGGGTGCCTTGCTTTGGAATTTCATCGGGCTGTCCTGCACCACTGACCCTGGCTGAAGAAGTTCACATAGAATTAGTCCCTACAGTCCTATGATTCGTGCATTGAGAGGACACTTTCATAATACCCTGGTGTCATTACTCAAATGGAAGCACCTGGTGGGAGGTGACCTCAAGAGTTATTGAATCCTAAGCCCTATTGACGGGACAGGTGGATTAGGGATCCTCCCCACGGACTATCACTGAGAAGTATTTTCTTACTGTCAGTTCCATATCCTCTTCATCTTTTTCTTTTGTGGGCTTTTCTGGTTCTTCCGGCTCCTTCTCTTGGAGATGTATTTCCTGGGCCTGAGTCATATAAGGCATGTCGTCTTTGTTCTTGAACTCCAAGCTGAGAATTGAAGGAGGAAGTAGAATTCCCAGAATTACCTAAAGTAATAATAATGATAATAATAATAATCACATTTAAGGGATTAAGATTAGAGTGGTTGCTTAGAATCAGAGGGCCTGGGGGTGGTGTGTGTGTGTGTGTGTGTGTGTGTACACGTATGTTGTGGGTGCCCTGAGTGAGGACCTGCATATTTGAGTAACTATGCACCTTAATGCTATGAGAGTCATTTCTATCCACTTGGGAACTGTTATGCACCATGTAGGGTATTTTCACAACAAGTTTCTTTGCTGTAAACATCTTTGCCATAAAACTAATTGGCCGTAAGGCAATTTTGTTGTAAAAGATAAAATAATTGGTCGACAGTTTGGGTTGACAGTGTGTTCCCATTTCAATATGGCATAGATCTTAGCCCTCATGTACAGTGACGAGTACACGTGTGGTCTTAAAATAGTGAATGATAACTACGTATACTGACTTGATAAAAAATATGGTGATAACGCTCTCTGAAAGTGTGAACTAAGAGTGGGTAAAGCCAGATTCCATACTAGACTAATATGATAACTGATATATCAGTTTGCAAATTCTTTGGTGATTTAAAGGCTCAGAGTTGAACCCACATTTTGCATAGAACTTTGGAACATCTATCAACAGACGGAAACAGGATGCCAAGAATAAAAACTACAGTTAAAAGGCTCAGCTCAAGAGAGGAGACAGGTCAACATGAAAGGAACTTGTAAGTGCTTAAATATAACCCACAAAATAAAATCGGCTATTTGCACAGTATTGTCACAAATTGACACACATTTTAAGTGAATTCAGATATTTTCTATTTTGCAATAATAGTCTTCTTAATTTTGTTATGAGAAATGGATTTCATTATGTCCTTTTTAATGTCCCTTTTAAGTTTTTTATTTATTTTATTTTCCATCACCATTTATTCCCATCCCCTCTTCCGCCTCCACCCACCCTCTCCCCCTGCAGTCACCGCACCGTTGTCTGTGTCCATGAATTCTTTCTCTTTTTTTCTTTTTTGCTCAATCCCTCTCCCCCACCAGAGCTATCTGCCTGCTCTCTATCTATGAGTTTGTTAATATTTTTATTATTTTATCTTTTACAGAAAAATTGCCTACAGTATTAGTGTTGTGGTGAACATATTTGCGGCAAAGAAGCTCATCACAAAATACTTAGAACCGTTATGCCCAGAAGCTCAATTTGATTTTGGAGAAACAAAGCATCTTACCAATATATATATATATTAGCTAATGAACACTCGCTGTGCATGGGGGAAACAGGAAAAAGAGAGACCCTACCCAAGGCAAAAGTGGGAAAGAATTGAGATTCCCATTTAGCCATTAGATAGCACTTGATTGGTGAAATCAATTCATACCTGTGTCCACTGGCATTTATTTGCTAATGTGTCAAGTGGAGTTGACTGTGCCATCTGGTTATCTCTAAAAATATGCTGTCCCGCCCTGGCCTGTTTGGCTCAGCCGTTGGAGCATTGGCCTGTGGACCAGAGAGTCCTGGGTTCGGTTCCCGCTAGGGGCACGTACCAAAAAAAAAAAAAACACCCAAAAATGCTGTCCTAAGTTGACCTCGAGAAAGTCCACGTAGGAGAGCATATTATTCATGTTAGTGCTTTCCCCTGCCATTGACTGCTACCCAACAGGAGCACACACACTCCCCGCGGGCTCTGTATTTGCCGTAAGAAGCCCATGTTCAAACACCCAGGAGGGTCCAGCACTGTGTTTCTCTTGTGTATAAACAACATGCCTAAATCTCCATGTGATGATACTAAACTTATGGGCCCTTTTCACAGGAGGCAACCTCATTCTCCACGTGCCAGGGAAGAAATGCATTTCTGAGTGATAACACTGACATCTGACTTGTGTTCCCTGGGTCTCCCACCTCTTCCCTCAATCCTAAAAGGGTTCTGTTGCAGAGGGCTCCAGAATATGAACCAAGGTGAGGGGCAAAGGGGATTCTGAAGGGCGAAAATAATTCTCAAAGAATGCACCAGGGACAGTCTGTGTGTAAACGCCCACAGGGACTTTGGAGCAGCTGAGGATAAAGGGAGAACGGTTGACCCTGTACTCAGGGTACCGGGCAGGCTGGGAAAGCTCAGGTGGCATGCTGGCAGCCTTCAGGGGACATGACACCCTGTCCTTGGAACTGAGAGCCAGGCTTGGCGGTCACTAGCAGCGTAGCTACGGAGCACCCATGACCCACTTCATGGAAGCTTCTGTGACTCTGGGCCAAGAGCGCATGGAAGGCCGGAGGAGGGGAGGGAATGCTGGTTCGGTCAGGGTGGTCTCAGCGATTGCTCTCGTCTCAGGGCCCTTCTGCTCGGCGTTGATCTCAGAGTTATGCAGATCAGGCAGTTCTAGGCGAATCTGAGCCTGGTTTCGCTTGTAACAGCCACAGACTCTAACAGATAACCCATTTTACCACATTCTTTTAATCTCCCCCCTCCCATTTTTTTCCTGTCTTCCTTCTACTTCTTTCAGTTAAATGTTTTCTTTGGAAAACATTAAGAAAACATAAAAAAGCAAAGCCACACATCATCCTTCTTACACTTCAACCCTAGAGGTAATACTACAATTTACTGTGTATTGACCTCTTTTTTTTTTTTTTTTTAAAAAAAGAATCTTGTTTTATTTTACAGCATACATACATACTATAAAAAAAAACAAAAAAACAAAAATGGACTCAGATTATAAATAATGACCTGCAACTTGTTTTTCTTCACGTACGAATCGATTGAGATTATCCAGCAATGTCTTTACATATAAATCTATTTTGCTGTTGTTTCAGTTTTAAAAATTTCTCAAGTATATAAACATTTCATCAAGTTTCTTAATGCCCCTTTATGACATGGAGTACAGGAGGCCAGGTGTGCAGTCTTTCTCTGCAGTGAGCAGCTGCCCAGGAAACGACTCCTCTTACAGAAAAGCTTGTGCCAGAGTAAATGGTACCCTAGGCACCTGAGGGTGACTATCACTTTCGGATCTTCTGAAATATATTAGTCTGGGCACCCTCTCTACTGATTTAGCACATTTTGGGGAAGGCCTTAGCCTCTATATGAAAAATGAGAAACCAGAACTCTACTATACAGAAGGTCCTGATGCCTAGTTGGGGTTTAGAGTCAACCTCCTAAGATACGAGAATGCCTAATCCCACCACACATTGAGCTTGGAAAACTCCGACCCTCTGGTGCTGATAACCAGTGGAGCCTTCTGGGTGCACTGACCTTGAGGCCTGAGTTTTTGCGCATCCGGAGCCTGCCCATCCACATGTCTGTGAGCAACATCTGGCTGCACGTGTGTGCGATGAAGTCGCGGTGCTTGGCAGCCACGGCCAGCTGCAGGCACGTGGCATTGCTCCAGTTCTTCAGCTCGTACGTCAGCAGTTTCATGGCCAGCTGCTCGTCCTGCTTGTAGGACTGGTCCAGGAGCTCCACGGCCAACTGGCCAAAGTCCCTGATAAAGAAAATGTGAAGAGTCATCTCTTGGCCACCTTGGAGACTTAGATAATGAAAGTGAAGACCCACTGTCCAAGTAAAAACAGGTGGTCTAGTTATTTATTATGGGGTCTAGTTTCTTGAGTCATTCATCCAGCCAACATCCATTAAACATCGATATGTGCAGACACCTTGTTTAGTCAAACAAGGCATGATCCCTGCACTCACGGCCCTCAATTCAAGGTAGACAGATGGGGACGGCTGACCAGTAAATCGATTACAGTGCAGTACGTCTTCTTTAAAAAAAAATTTTTTTTTTCCTTTATTGATTTGAGAGAGAGAAGAAGTGAGAGGGAGAGAGAGATAGAAACATCGATGAGAGAGAACATCAACTGGGCACCTCCTACATGCCCCCCTACTGGGGATGGGGCCCACAACCTGGGCATGTGTTCTGACTGAAAATTGACCGTGTGACCTCTTGGTGCATGGGTCGATGCTTAACCACTGAGCCACACCGGCCGGACATAGTATGTCTTCTTAACTGTGGCAGACCTCAGTTCAGATCTGAGCCTTGCCCACCATAAGTGTGTGATCAGACAAGTTACTTAAATTCTAGTCTCATCTCCTTTAGCAGTAAAATATGCATAACAAGAGGGCCTATCTCTTGGGCTGGGGTTCTAGGTATTTTTGCTGTAAACATTTTTGTTGCACAACTAATTGGCCACAGAGCAATTTTATCATAAAAGATAAAATAACAGGTTGACAGTTTGATTTGGTTTACATTAGACCGAGTTAATTTACTTAAGCTAGTTGTCAAGTTTGGTTTCATTTCTCCATGGAGGAAGTTCTCACAGTTACTTGCATTTTTTTTTTTATCCTCACCTGAGGACATTTTTTCCATTTTTTTTGTTCAGGTAGAGTGGGAGGGAGAGAGAGGAAGAGAGAGAGAGAAACATTGATGTGAAAGGGACACATCGAGTGGCTGCCACCCACATGACCAACCAGGGCCGGGGACAAACTGCAACCGAGGTACGTGCCCTTAGCGGGAACCGAACCTGGGTCTCTTTGGACCACAGGCAGATGCTCTAACCGCTGAGCCAAACTGTCCAGGGCGCATTTTTATATGATATAAATCTTAGCCCTCATAGTGGGCTATACAATGACGAGTAGATGTGGTGGTCTTAAAACAGCGAATGTTACAAACTACGTATAAAGCCAGATTGCACACTAGACCAAAGAACGATAATACTTCAGTTTGCAAATCATTCAGTGAGTGGAGTCATCCTCCCACCCATCCAAAATCCAAACCAAAAGTTTACCATGCTATGGAAAATAGAAAAGGAAAGCATAATAGTATGAATGAAAGACTTCGAAGGCAACGTATTTTCATTTTTTGCAATACAGTTTTTAAATTTTGTTATTATTTTTTCATGTCCCATTATGTCCTTTTTAGTATCTCTCTTTTATTTTTTGTTATTTTATCTTTTCTGGCAAAGTTGTTTTACAGCCAATTAGTTATGCGGTAAAAATGCTTGCAGTAAAGATGTTTACTACGGCAGACATGCTTACAGTGAAAATACGGGACATGTTGGGCAGGTTGAGAAGATGACATGAAATCTTCTATATATGTATATATGTAGGTATATATATATGGGTACCTCTGTATCTAGTGCCGTGCACCATAAAGAGTAATTTTTCATGTCCATCCTCTCTGTGTACCATGGCCTCTTCAAGTTTTGGGTGGCTCAGACCATCCACCTAGTATTTGGGGTCCACCTTCCCTTCATGTCCCCTGATCACCCCATTTTCAGGGCGGGCCAACCTGGAGTTGTGGTTCAGCTCCTGGGAGATGTCGTCGACCATGTCGTTCTCGGAAGCCTCGTGAGCCATGGCTTTGCAGAGCTTGCAGGCCACCAGGGCCTTGGCCATCGCCTCCTCGCCATGCTGCCAGAAGAACAGGGCCATTTTCTGCCGCTTCATCAGCACGGCCCACACCATCAGCTCGTGGAAAGGGAAAGGAAAGTGGTTGATCTCGGGGTCATCCAAGTCAATGTCTACCTCTTCTTCACGTTTCTTGGTTGTTTTTCTTCCTCGCCTCAAGGGAACATCATCCTATAATTTTAGGGAAAAAAACAACAACATAGAGGTGAGGTTAGAAATGAATCAATTAAATTCAGAAAACTTATTGTATATTTACTACTGGCCCAGCTCTGACAGATACATAAACTAGAGGCACACCTTATTTGATTGTGTTTCACTTTATTGTAGTACACAGATGTTGCGTTTTTTTGCAAATTGAAGGCAAGACCCTCCACCAGCAAAACGATTACGATTTGCTTTGTTGCAGTGGTTGGAACTGAACCCCGATATCTCTGCGATGTGCCTGTATCCTATCCTAGCTCTGATCCTAAAAGGACTCAAAGCTCATATATGCCTGATTTTAAAACGAGTTAGAATTGTATAAGCACTGTCCTATGGGAACATGTCATTATTACACTTTAAATTAGAGAAAAGTATTTTTAATGGGCCACTTTCTTTTTCTTTTTCTTTTTGTCCTTTTTTTCTGCCTCTGCAGGTAGGGTGAATTGTCCCTCATGCTGGACAGCACTACCTTTTTCTCTCAAAGGATGAGGACTGGCATTTGCATATACAACAATGACCACATGAACAAAAGATAAAAAAAGAAACCTCTGCGTTTTCGCACACCTCATTAGATGCATTTGGGAAGTATTTCTGGCCTTTGGATTTGTTGCCATCTGTAAACACCCAGGAATAGATTTTGCTTACTGGAATGTATATGCTTCCTTGGTTTTCAAGTCACTATTTCGAATAGAATTTATTTCCTTGTTTGCAATGTGCATGTAACCTCATGGGGAGATGTTCACAGCTACTGTGACCTGTCCCCTCAGCACTGGGGAAAATTTCACTTCCTATTACAGAATCATGCACTAAGCCTCACCACTGAAATGAATATACATATATATATATATAAAATGTGTAACAAAGAGAATAAATAATTGACATTAATATTTTGAGCAAACACTTACCTCCATTCCTAGTAGTTTCAAGGCTTTGGGCTGTTAAAAAAAAAATTCATGCACTAAGTTAGATATTTCTTTATAGATATAAGAATCCTACTCTATCTCAAACAGACAATGAAACAATTCCATTGTAGCATATAGCATCTATTTCAATAAATAAAACACTATGGAGAGAACCTATTTATAGAAATTCTCTGATAATTAGGGATTTAGTGAGTTTGGTGAATCAAAGAAAATCAGAAAACTGGAAAGGCAAAACGAGATTGCTCAGGGGTAGAACCCACAGGTTTATTAACCCTTTCTTTTTTTTTTATTATTTATTTTTATCCTCACCCGAGGATATTTTTCCATTTTTTGTACAGATAGAGTGGGAGGGAGACAGAGGAAGGGAGAGAGAGAGAAACATCGACGTGAAGGGACACATCGAGTGGCTGCCACCCGCACAACCAACCAGGGCCGGGGACAAACTGCAACCGAAGCACGTGCCCTTAGCGGGAACCGAACCCGGGTCTCTCCGGACCGCAGGCCGACGCTCTAACCGCTGAGCCAAACTGGCCAGGGCTATTAACCCTTTCTTGAACCAACATTTCTTCCGTCTTCCTGCTTGTCATCTCCATGACATCAAGCACTTGCATGAGCAATGAAACATTCAATCAAACCACGAGATATTTCTCAAACCTCTGAAGGACCTCTATTACCAGAAGACTTGAGATATTATTCAGAAATGAATGTTTAGATGCTCCACGCTGGCCATCTGTCTATGCTGCTGTCCAGTCGAGAAGGGCCAGAGGGGCATGTATTGATGGTGGCAAAAGGTGCTCAACACATGGAAAGTGTCAGCACGCACAGAAGCATCATTGCTCACGCTGGGAACGTGTGGAACTGGCACAGGCCAAGACAGACAGAGGAGGCAATGCAGCAAATTACAGAACTTGATTTATACTTAACAAAGGAAATACACTTCAGGGGTCAGGAGTTCCAATTCTATGTTTTAAGTATCACAGAAGGGGTTCGGTGCCATCTTGAAAGTTATTCGAGTAAACAGTAAGGTTACAGCTCTTCCAGCTCCTCCAAATTTTATTTGACCCTTCAAGTAGGAATAGCTTGAACCTTGTCTCTCTCCCTTTCTTTCTCTTTTAGCTTGTATAACGACCTGACCAGTTTGAAATTTGTGATTTTTGAAAAATTTATACTTTTTGATGTTTTCAAAGTTCTCTTCCAGCACCACAAAATACTTGAATAATCAGAAGATAAGGTTGAGTAAAAATAAAAGTCATGCCCACCACCAGCTATAGCAGCAGTTTTCAAAATGTTGTCCAAGGACCACGTGACCTGTTTGGAAAGGGGTGGGGGGTATCTTTTCTGAGACCCTTCCAGGGGTCTGTGAAGTGAAAGCAATTTTCACAATAACACTAAGATGTCATTTGATATTGATACTGTATTAATATTTGCACTGATGTACAAAAGCAGCGGTGGGTAAAGTTGCTGGGTGCCTTAGCAAGAATGAAGGCAATGGTACCAGACTTTACTTGTCATTAGATTTCACTGTTATACCCTTGAAGTTTAAAATGAAACAAAACAGACAATTTCACTTAAGAATGTGCTTGATGAGGCCTAAAAAATTATTACGTTTATCCAATCTCTACTCTTGCTAGTACACAATGTGTTTTTACTATTCTGAGGGATAAAACGGAAAGTATGGATAAAGCACCTCTGCTAAAACTCAACGAGGGTGAGTGTCCTGAGAAAAAACACGTATGGGGTTGTTTGGATTGAGTTATGGTCACTTTGTGAAGTAATGTGAAGGAATGACTAGCAGACAACTTGGTTATTTGAACTTGGATGGCAGACATTTTGAAAATGAACAGAGTAGGACGGTCCCTTTGAGGAAAATACTAACAGTATTGGTTGTTGATGACACAATTTGAACTTTCAAGCAAAAAACAGAATCTTGGAAAACTTGTCCTCCCCCACCCCATGACCTTGACAGTTTTTCAATATTTAAAGACTTTTCTGATGAGATTGGAGGTGATGGTAATGAATGCAAGTTTTTGAAATTGTATTAAAAAAGTGTCGACATTTGGAAGATCCATGCATAGCACAATGAATCAATATTTTACAATGACCAATCTATGATGTTAAAAGATCCATAAGGGAAAAAGGTCTATACAAACTAGAGTTTGATTTTAATGTAATACTACGAAAAGTTCATAGTTTAAGATTTTATGTTGCAACAAATCTTCAAGAATATCTACGATTATTTCTAAAGATCACTTCTTCCCTTTTTTGATACATTTGGGTGAGGTCAGATTTCCTTCGTATATTTTAACCAAAACAACATCTTACAGCAGACTGAGTGTAGAAGTAGATATGAGAATCTAGCTGCCTTTTGTTAAGTGAGGCATTACAGAAATTTGCAAAAAACGTAAAACAGTGCTATTCATCTCTAATTTTTGTTTTTTGAAAACATAGTTGTTTTTCATAAACATGCTGTCTATGTTAATATGTAATCAATGGACTTCTTAGGGTCATCGTGAGATGAATTAATGACTAATTTTTTTAAAGTCTCAACTTTCATTTGCAGCCTGATAAATATTGATAGATCTTAACATAGATAAAAAGTTTTAGGGAGTCCTCAGTAATTTTTAATGGTAAAAAATAGATCTCTAGACCAACATCCGTGAAAACTGCTGCGACAGATAATAAGATTAATCTGAATTTCATTGCTATTCTCTGATCATTACGGCTCACTCTCATTGTCAGTTTCTGATTTGAATGGGATCTATGAGGACCAGAAAGCTGATCACTTGGAGGGCAGGAAGCCACACCCCAGTCTGTCGCAGCCTAGCCCTCCCGGGTCCAGGAAATGGGCTTTGCCCTTGCCCAGCCTCACCCTCTTGGGGCCGAAGAGGTTGTGGTAGAGGGTCCGGAAGCGCTTGCGCGTGTAGTTGCAGCGATAAGCCCCGCCCATCAGGTACTCGATCACCAGGCCGATGTCGATCAGGCTGATTCTGTAGTCCGGGGGCAGGTTCCCCTGTCAGGGAAGAAGGAAACAACAAACAGATCCAAAAGACAGCGTGATTTACTAGAGATTCTATCCCATGTGTTCTGTAACTATTTTAGAGTAAAAAAAAAAAAAATTAAAAAAGAAACATATGAATGTATTATTATGCTGGTTAATTAATTCACCTTAAAATAGATCCAACCGAAACCTGGATATTCTCGCTTGGAAAGAAGACATAAGTTAAATAAGAAGATGCAGTAATCGTCGGCAATAACAGAAAATCAAAATATTTATTCAAGTCTTCAGCTGAGGAGAAAAAAACACCAGCGTAGCAGAAAAAACACACAAGGCTAGACATGGCAAATGCTTTGGCTCCCAGACACTAGAACTAGGCTCCCCAGATGTCCCCCGGCCCCCTCGCTGCTCTGCCTCTGACCCAGGCCTGTGACCCCCTCTTGCTGATCATTTATGTTTCCACACTCACTAAATGAAGACTCCTTCCAGAAAGTCATGGTTATTACCGGGGCTTGCGTTAGGTGCGGTATGTTTAGAGCTCAGACTTCCTTTAATACCAAATTTCTATTAACAGTGAACATTTGGTGCCTTTACCATCAAAGGAGAGCAGGATGGATGTCAGATGAACATTTCTTATGTTGAAAGAGAAAGTGAGAAGGGATAGCTTTATATTTTCAATTGTTTATCTTTGTATTCCCAGTGCCTTTTATAGAGCCTGGTGTATGATAAGCATTCAAAATGCTTTTTGTTGTTAAAAATGTGAATGAGTGAAAAGAGTGAGATTAAGTGATGTGGTGGGATCAAATCTCAGTTTTTTTTTTTTTTTTCAGTGTTATGTTCTCAGTTAGAGAACTAACTAGCCACAGTGTGCGAATTACTCTGTTTGGGGAAGCCTCAGTTTCCTGCAGAAATTTTACTTGAAGTATGTGTGTTGAGGTCTCTGCATGGGCAGGAATGAATGGAGAGCAACTGATGCACCAGCCTAAGCTCATGGAATCCCAGGGCCGCTCTTTCAACTTACTTGCGGCGTATAGAGTTAATCCTCAGCCCTGCCCTTAACTTGGGGAACAAGGCAGGCTTGGGGACCTAATTTGAGCCGGCTGAGCAAAGTGGGACTGTGTGAAGGGCATTCGAGATGAGATGGAAGCACTTTGAGGCGCAGAACCCCTCCCATCCTTGACCTTGGCCCATCAGAACCCATTTCATTAGCTGAATTCTCCCTTCACAAAAACGGTCTCTCCTCTCCTCCCCATCTTTCTCAGAATTTTGGGATCTCCTAAATTTTAAGATTATCTCAGCAATCTAACTGAATTGTCAAATTAAGCTATTCTCAGGCTATCAAGACCAATGGTCTGACTTCCTTAGGCGAAGCACGGCAAAAAATATAAAAAAGATCGTAACTTTTAAGGTATTGCCCTTTCCATAAACATTAAAGTGAGTTTAAAAATATTACCCGCGCAATGACTTTTCTCTATTATTTTGGGACAGGTTACCAGTCTGCAGTTTCCTGTATGGTCTGGTTCTATCAGACTGTTAAGCAACTCTGCCAGTTCAAGGGTGGAAGAGCCCCAGAACCTGGACACACCCCAGTCAGCCTCGCCTCCCATGCATTTGGCTCCTAATGAGGATGACTTCCCGAGGGGCCCACCCCATCTGTGTTCTTTCCTTTGGCACTGTGAGGCAGGCAGGGTAAGGAACTCTTGCTATGAGTCAGCTGCCCTGGGCTTCTGTCTGTCCTCAACAAATCAGCCACCTGTTTTCTTCCTAGTAAAAGGGATTGAACTTCCTGGCTTCTATGCTCTGTAATGTACCAGTTTCCAAAAACATCCCCAAAGGATGTACTGTGATGCTTTGGAAAGACCATCATAGCAAGTCTATGAATTTGTGCCTATTTTTAATCTTGTAACAGTTTTCTAAATTTGAAACGTGGGTAATACAGAGTCTAACATGTGTATATTTTCTTTTCAGAAATCCGTATGTAAGCATTAGTTTGAGTTCTAGGAACAAGACCCGATATTACGTGAAGGCCAATATTGAATGGCAATATTTATACATCTGACACGTCTGTCAGAGTGGGAGCTGTCAGGAAACTGATAATAGTAAAATTCAAAGTACATAAACATTTAAGAGGGGCAAAGAGAACATTTTTTTTGGCAAATGGCTTTATTAATAAAGGGTTTTTAGGTTTATAGACTACCCAAGAAGGTTCTGGAATCTTTTTTTTCTTGAAAATTCTCATACAAATCTTGATTATTTAGAGTGATGTATGATCTGGTCCGAGCAGGAGGAAGGCTGCAGAGACTATCCTGGGCTCTCTCAGCTTTTAGCGAAGGCCGGAAAGAAAACAGGCCTGCACTCTGATTGACCACAAGGCGGCGATGTCCACCTAACCAAGCCAATGAGGGTCTTTTGCTCACTGGCATTTGCCTGCCTGCTCTGTTTTGTGCAATAACTGATGTAAACGAATACAGAGGAGACTGGAGGATTTGGAGACAAGGAGGGAGTCAGATGCTTTTGTTGAAGTGATACCTGGAGGAGGGAAAGCTTACTTTACCAAGTAATGTGTTTGAACTCGGTCTGCAAGACTGGAGTGTTCTTTCCAGAGGCTTTTGATAACAGAGAAATGAAGGGAAATTTGTTTCACAGCTTTTACTGGGAAGAGAGGAAACCTTTGGGGGAAGAAGAAATAGATTTCCTAAAATGAATAAAACGACAACTGTGTCTTGGGTGAGCACAGAAGGGGATGGCAGCATTGGTGCCGGTCTGGGCAGATGGCTTTGGCCACCGGTGACCTGCAGGTGTAACAGAAGTGTGGAGGGCAGTCAGCAGAGTGACCCTGCAGTGGAAATAGCACTGGGCTGGGCTATGGGCCTGAACAGATCACGCCCTTTCTCTGTACCTCAGTTTACCCTTTGAAAACGTGCACTTTGGACACCGTTACTTCTAAGGTCTTATCTATTTCTGACGGTCCAGTTGTCTGACTGCTCCCTGGCAGCCTGCTTGTATTTCTGTGCGGCCAGGTCACTGGGCAGAGACTCTCGTCCAGAGCTTCCAGGGTCGATGTAGTTTCCACTAATCCCCTGAGGTTTGGTTAGTGAAGCTGGGGGCTTAGAGGCAAGGGCTGGTAAGGGATAGACGGGGTGGGCTGTGCTCATCACATACACCTTCTCTGGAAAAAGCAGAGAAAGTGAGTGGTACCTCACATGCCACCGGTAATGTCCAAAAACCTTCTGGAGAAGTCTTCTTGGCCTGGGTCCTTTACAAACAGGAAGTCCACAGTGATTCTGGTGTGACACTCTTTCTGCTTGCTGTTTCTGTTGTTTCCTTTCCCCCTTTTGGTAATTACTTGGATAACTGATAAAGCCCCATTTCATGTCTTAACAACACATGGCAAACCACGTGATTTAAATAATGTGATCCACAGAATAACAGAGAAGCTTGGGGCTATGGATAGGTACAGCTTGATAACTTGAAAATGTCATCTATTTTATTCATGCTATGAGCTACTGCTCTGAAACTAAGTTTTAATCCATGTAGTACCAAAGGATAACTATTAATTAAAAGAATAGTTCAACTTCACTTAGATCTGCTCTTCCAAACACACTCTGTTTCTCAGATATCAGCGTACGACATCACAACAGAGGTCAGCTCTTTAGGAAACTCTTTTTTTCTTGAAAACGGATAACAAGCCTTCAAAACGAGACCGTTTCCTTCTCATGCACGTGAGGAGTAAATGGTAGTTGGTTGTCAGGTTTACCAAGGTCAAGTGGGGAAAAGACTGTTCTGGTGAGAGTTTATGGACAGTCCCCCAATGTTTGGCATGGTAGTACTCTGGGTAACTAATCTTATACAAAATAAGAATGCTTTTTAAAATTTGCATGAATTTAGCAGATGGGGTTATACAATATCCCTTCTCTACCCAAAGTGTGTCTGAAATGCTTTTTTTCTTCATTCTGTAAAAAAGCTCTGAGTCTTGATTCTCACATGAATACATTTGAAACTATCATAATTTCATACTATTTCTATCTAAAACTTAACTATCATACTCCTTTGGTGGGAGGGCTAGAATAGGTACCATGATGTATTAGCACATTTAATTTAAGAAAGAAAAGTGACTACTTTAAAACATACAGAGGCACAAATTGAGCAGACAGTTAGCTACTAAAATGGCAAGTTAGATTTCACAATAAAGCAGACAGACTCGGGCCACTCCGGTTTAATAAGAGAGCATTGGTATATCCAATGGATTTATGCATGAAAACAGTCAGGGAATTGGGTTGGCTTACATCATTTAAAATTTCTGACTGACGCTGAATAGCAACTCTTTACCTCATTGCTCCTAGATGGTTCCCTTGGTATATATAATCTGAGAGTTTGAAACTAGCTTGGGAGCAATTCTCCATGTTCAGTTCTGTTGATTTCAAAGGATAGTTGTATTTGCAGATGTCATGCTGGTTAACTTATGATGGTCTGATAATTCCTCACTGCATTCCCCGGGTTTGTAAGAGCTACTTACATTTCATTTACAGACATAATTACTTTTCTTTCTTTCTTTTTTTATCGTCACCTGAGGACATTTTTGCATTTATCTTCAGACAGGGGAGGAGGGAGAGAGGAGGGAAGAGAGAGAAAGAGAAACATCGATGTGAGAGAGACACATCGACTGGTTGCCACCCACATGACCCCAACTGGGGCCGGGGACAAACTGCAACCGAGGTACGTGCCCTTAGTAGGAACCGAACCCGGGACTCTCTGGTCCGTGGGCCGATGCTCTAACCACTGAGCTACCGGCCAGGGCACAGATAAATTTTCAAACACTATGTTTAAGATCCAGAACTGTTTTCTTACTTATGAACAGCATTTTGTATCAGGTTTTATCATTTACTGATTAATTTTTTTTTTGCCACAGATTAAATCAGTTAATACTTACATAAAGTCCTATAGTCATAATGCACAAAGCACACGCTAATTATTATGCTCCTTAATTTTTACAATTGCTTAAACTGTCCAAGATTTTCTTAGCATTTTAAACCTAGTTTTTGTAGATTTTGAGAATCTTATAGGTCTAAATTGCTGGAAGCCTTCTAGAACCGTCTGAGGAAAATGTGAACCACCTGAGGAAAATATTAATTTCTTCATCATTCATTTCTTAAAAATACACAAACACCCTGGTTGGTGTGGCTTAGTTGGTAAGGCCTCGTCTCATGCACCAAAAGGTCGCTGGTTCGATTCCCGGTCAGGGCACATGCCCAGGTTGCAGGCTCATCCCTAGTAGGGTGCGTGCAGGACGCAGTCGGTTTATGTTCTGCTCTCACACGGATGTTCCTCTCTCTTCTCCCTCTCCTTTGCTCTCTTAAAAAAAAAAAATCAATAAAAAAATATACAAACAAAGCCCCTTCTTCATTTTCAGCTCTCTTCTTTCATGTAACATAAAATGGAGACAGTTCGGCTCCTTTGGCTACCATTGTTCTCCTTTCTTGCTCTCCAATAGTCAGATGCTCACCTTTATCACAGAAGTAGATGGAGCCTGCATTTCCTGTCTCTATTTATTTCTTCCCAAAGTAAAATGCTAAACGTAGGCTTTCTGTTTCTCCCTACCTTATTGGCAGTCTCTATTCCCAAGTTAAAAGATACATTGTTTCTAAGCCAGTTCAGTACTGTCCTAGGTGACTTGTTATCATTTTTTTTCCAGTTACCAAATTAGTAAGTAAATGAATTCTTATGTAACTATATTCATTTTCTAGTATTTGGATAACATTGAAAGGAAAAATAAAACTGCTCCCAATACTCCTTCCTTCCAAATGTTTACCATACGGTTCTTTCTTATTAGTTATTATTTTTACATCTTTAACTAGTAAGTTTAAAAAACAACAACACCCTACCTTAAAATTACTCTACAAAGTCTACATGCCTTTTAATGCAAGTGATGTGAGCCGATGTAAAAGGCAGTTAATGGGAATTCAGAAAAGAGAAAATGATATTGGGAAGCAGAGTCCGGCAAGGCAGAAAGCCTAGTAGGAGGGATTTTGATCATTTGTACTCAGTAAAATCTAACCACAAAATCCCTTTGAAAATCATGCAAGACACTGAGAATCTGAGTGATGGAGGTGGATGAGCAGCTTTATTTGAAGGTGTGGATTGGCCGATGGCTGGACAGAGGAACAAAGGCATAGCTGTCACCTCAGAGACCCTCACAATTCCGTCAGTGACACAGAGTAGCTTAAGGGGATAGTATCGGATTATTTTAGAAAAGCCTCAAGATATTTTATTGAACACGAGCAACAAATACCTTGGCAAAGAATATACATTAGCTGTGTACACAGGCTTCTGAGATACTCCCCCACCCCTGCCCCCAGTTCTTTTCCAGGCAATTTTTAGCTAGGATAAATTAAACAGAATGGGAAGACCCGAGGGAATGAGAAGTAGGTTTGCTGAAGGTAGGTACGCTGGTGGCTCGAAATGGGCAGACCAAGGAAAGATGCGATCTTGTAAAACGCTTGTTGAGCGTCTGTTTCCCTTGCACTGACAGAATGACAGCGTCACTCACTCACATGGATCGGAAAGGCCCACCGGGTTAAACAGGTACATTTGAAGCAGCCCCAGGGCCTTTGCTTGGCCTTTTGAAGGAAAATTGAAAAAGTGGCTACAGAACACCTAAGGGTCAGTTCTAGCCAACACATTCCCGTGACATGAGGGAATTGAACTCTATTCTCTTTGTTTGTTAATCTTCACCTGAGGATATTTTTCCATTAATTTTTAGATAGAGTGGAAGGGAGGGAGGGGGAGAGAGAGAGAGAAACATCGATGTGAGAGAGACACATCGATTGGTTGCCTCTGGGGCCAGGGACCGTGCTCTGACTTGGAATTGAACCCATGACTCTTTGGTCTGTGGGCCAATGCTCTAACCATTGAGCGAAGACTCCATTCTTTGACCTTACTTTGTAGCTTTCTCTGAGCATAACTAATAGACTTTGGTGAAGAATTGCTACAAATTGGTAGGAGGGTGTACCCGTGTGTGGGTGTGCACATGTACAGGGTGGAGGAAATGCCACCATCTATTTTGTCCGCTGGAGTTAAAACATCCCTTTCTGGGAATGCTGTCAAAGGCTCAGAACCGAAGCTACCTCTGAAAAAGATTGTACAGGGCAAAAGAACAAGCACTTGGCTAAGTTTAAAATAACCTCCCTGTGTCTCACTCTTCTCATCTGTACATGGGAATAATGCTATATAGTAACAAAATTCTAATAATAAAATCATCACTCTACTACATAGCATTCTTATAAAGATGAACAGAAGACTTAGACTGGTGTCACACACCTGGTCACCATTAAATATTAGGTATTATTATCTTTAGTACTAATCAAAAGTCCCGAGTTCTAATCCTAGCTCTTTATCAAGCACTTAATACAGTTCTCACCTCCTTGCATTTCAGCTTCCTCCTCTGTAAAATTGGAATAAATTTGCTTGATCCGAACCTACTGGCTTCCCTTCACCCCATCAACATCTGAGATACTGATGTGGAAAAATATACTGGGAAAAATGACGTGTTAGAAGAATGGTATACATATCTGTGTCTTAGTCTCTGATTCGCCGAGACTTTGTAATGCCCTACACCCTGTACACTGCTGGGTGTGACGGTGATACCTAGCATCCAGAGCTAGTACGTGAAGATCCTCTTATGGTCAGGCGGGCAGCATGGAAACTAGCTCCCCAAACAGTGAGGGGCATATGGAAAAATACAGGTAATAGCATAAATCCACATGGCATGGGCAAAAAGCCTCGCGTTCCACGGTCCAAAAGCACTATGTCCAACGAAAGCGTCTACAACCAGGGAGACTGGAGATAAACCACAGCTGCATCATAAGCAGAGACGTCAGAGTTAAAAGACACACACACACACACACACACACACACACACACACACACACACACACAGAGTGTCCTGAAATGAGGGGTCAGGCAGGGACAGGAATACTCTGGCAGCTCATGCAATGCAACACAGAGGCGCCTTCTAAACAGGAAGCAGTCAAGACGGGGCCTCCGACCTGCAGTCGAGAGGATTCTTACCTTTTTGACATCCCTGACCAAGTGGTACAATGTGTTTGAGGGCCCATGTCTCTGAAAACAATAAAGAAGAATCAAATGGTTTTGCTAGTCGGGCTCTCTCTCCAGCCAGGCAAGAAGGATCTGGAAGGAAGGGTTGTGGCTGGCGAGGGACAGTTGTTAAGATGAACCTTGTTGTAGTTGCTCAGTTGTACCTGTCTTTTCTTTTTTTCAATTTTTATTAATTAATTTTTGTTACAGATGTTCCTCCCACCAGATACCCTGTACCTGTCTCTTCTAAAGAAACACAGGCGGATTTGGGGATTGTGGTTCCTCCAGAAAAAGCATTTGAAGCTCTAGGTTCCATCAACTCTGTCAACAGCTAAACCACGACATAATTTAAGGGGTAGTTTTGCTGCAGGAGGAGACATAGGGGCCACTTTACTGCATTGGAAATACACTTCGGCACACTGCCAATTGCGTCTTGATTTTGACCCATGTCGAATGAGAAACTGTCTAAAGCAGGGGTTGGCAAACATTTTTTTCTGTAAATAGCCAGGTAGTCACCATTTTAGACTTTGTGGGCCTTACAGTCTCCCTGGCAATTGTTCAACACTGCCGCCTTGTGGAAGCCGCCAGAGATGACACCTAAGCAAAGGAGCTTGCCTCTGTTTCAGTCAAACTGTATTTATGGACACAAAAAGACCAAAATTTTATATAATTTGAATGTCACAAACCATCAGTCCTCTTTTGATTTTTTCAACGACTGAAAAGTGTAAAAAACCACACTCTTAGCTTGCAGGCCACATAGAAATAGGCAGCAAGCTGGATCTGGCCCTCGGGTGGTGGTTTGCTAAAGTCCAGTCTGAAGAAAAGGCCACAGGAAAATTTGGAAAAAAGAGAGGCTTGGGAAAAAGATATATGTTTGTTTAAGGGAAGAATAAAATGAAATGGCTTGCCAAGGCGCTGTCTTTCAGGAATAGGAATGTTAGATAACATACAGGATGCCTAGTTAAATTTGGATTCCACATAGACAGGGAATAAATTTCTAATATAAGTATCTCCCATGCAATATTTAAGACACACTTATACAAAAAATTATTTGTTGTTTATCTGAAGTATAAATTTAACTGGGCCTCCTGTATATATGTGCTAAATCTGGTCACCCTGTTAGCGGATCTCAAACAGTGATGGCAAATCCTTAAGCATGGTTGAAACACATTCAAGGATGGAGACAACCGCCCTCTGCTGCCTCGACCACCTGCCCGTTCGTGCAGGCATACTCATCAGAACTCTTAGACTGAGGGATGCAGTACTGTGTAAGGATTAAACAGGCAGACTCTGGAGTCAGAATGCCTGGCTCCAAACTCGGCTCTGCTGCTGACCAGCTGTGACCATGGGCAAGCTACCCGACTGTGACTCAGTGTTACCATCTCTAAAATGAGGATAACATTTCATAACATTTACCTGTGAAGCCACCTGGTCCTGGCTTTTCTTTGTTGGGAGGTTTTTGATTACTAATTCAATCTCCTTATTTGTTATTAACCTGTTCCAATGTTGTATTTCTTTATGACTCAGACTTAGTGGGTTGTATGTTTCTAAACGTATCCATTTCTTCATGGCTAGTGGTGGATCTCTTGGTAGGAGGGAAAGTTTGGGCCTCCTATTGTACCATTTTGGTTTATTATTCTTCCTGAAAGTCTCAGGATGCTGAACCAAATAACAAATTGACAGAGAAAACAGACACCTGGAACCACTCTGCTAACCTCTTTTCTACTTCCATCAGTGGGAACAGGATAGAGCCAGGGTGGCACCACCTAACACAACAAACACGTCACTAAGCTTCTTCTCATTAGTACTGTGGGTGGTGAGGTGGAGAACGTGACAAAGGACGGGAGGAATAATCTATCTCTAAGACAGAGGCTTTGGTTCAGTACTAGCTTCTTTCTTCACTTAGGATTTTTGCGATCTTGAATAAACCAATTCACTTTTGGCCTCAGTTTTCTCATCTGTAAAATGGGGGGGAATGCAATATCTACATTTTAAACTTCATTGGATGTTAGTGAGTATCAGCTCAGATCAGAGCCGATGTACTTAATCCATTGAATAGTTTCAAAGAATTTCATAAATAGTTTTTTTTATGATCGCTCCTTGTTATCCCTAGTGAATGAATTAAAAAATCATTACAAAACAAAACAATATTTTTGGTAACTCCAAACAAGAGGTTTTTATATTTTATTCATAGCTCTCAGGATAACTAGATGGTGCAGGGTAATTAACTGGCTTCCTTTGATGCTAAGAGTTAAATCAATCCTCCTCTGCCTATTGCCTCAAACACCCTCTGGGCCAGTGGTTCTCAGCCTTCCTGATGCCGCGACCCTTCAATCCAGTTCCTCATGTTGTGGTGACCCCCAACCATAAAATTATTTTTGTTGCTACTTCATGACTGTAATTTTGCTACTGTTATGAATTGTCATCAGAAATATTTGTTTTTCGATGGTCTTAGGCGACCCCTGTGAAAGGGTCGTTCGACCCCCAGAAGGGTTGAGACCCACAGGTTGAGAACCGCTGCTCTGGGCTTACAAGTAAACTGTGTTCTAATTTTGTTCTAATTTCTATATCCCAGTGGTTTAGTGTAAAAATATGAGAATGTTACCTTTTGGTGATCACATAACTTTCTGCCTTAGATGCTGACAACTGAGCAGTTAAAACAAGTGAAATCTTGGTGACTTGTATTTCTTGTGTACATAGGTGTAGGGGAGAATTTGTGAAAAATGATCCATGCATTTGGCGGGCAGGGAGGAGACTCACAGGCATGTGGGGGAGTAGGAGAAGGTCAAACAAAAAACGTAGAGAAAATAAAAAGTGCCTTAGCTTGGTCCTACCGTATTGTACAATTCCTCTAGTCTGGAGATGGTGAGAAAACGGTGCATGCTTACTCCATTCTCTATGAGTAATTTCACAAAATCCACTCTGTCCAGAACTAGGGCATCCAACATGGCTTGTTCCAGAGACCCCACCTGCAAATCAAGTCACTGAGTTAGTCTGCTCCAGGCTCTAGAGATGCACTTCTTTGGCATTCACTGGAACAGTTTAGAAATGGATGCCTTTGACATCTGGTAAACCTTCAGCACATCCAAGAACATGCTAGCAAGACTGCTCCCAACTCTGCTCTTGGGATAGCTACAAGGTCTCATGTGTTTTAGGGCCTGTTTTTGAAACAGAATTCAAGGCTTTCTAGTTGCTAAAGTTATTTTCTCCTTGAATCCATCTCTCTCTCCCTCTCCCTTTCTCCCTCTGGATCCTGAGAAGGTACAGGGATTTACAAGGCTTTTCTTCTCACTCTTGGACCAAACTCCTAAAATACCAGTGAAGTGCTAATGTGGGTACTTTGCTGTCTTGGTTTTCATCTTCCGTAGGCTCGAGTTAGACCCTGGCTGGCTTGAGAAGAGGGACCCTAGTAAACAGACCAGAAAGTAGGCTGTTCTATTTTTGTTAAGTGATACCACCTTGCCTTCGTCCTTCCCATTTCTACATGGAGACACAGCAACTGTCTAGGTCCTTTGGCCTGTTTACTAAAGTTTCATTTTATTCCTTTTAAAAAACTCCCCAGTGTCCAGACTCCTTGACAGATCTTTCCCAGCAGCAACGCCCTCGTGGCACTAAATGAAGCCCGGGGCTCCACCCAGGGCAGAAGCTCTCTGGGGGAAAGGAGGGTTAAATAAGGCCTGTACAGCAACTCCAGGCACAGAAATCAAATTTCAGGCTGCTAGTTACCTCCTGGGGATACATGCGTACATCACCCAATGGCCAATTTTCCAAGTTTTTATTTTTGGTAGAGTCAATTGAGGGAAACAAACCAAGAACAGTTATATAAAGCTTTGGTTCCCTCTGTGCTGTTCTTGGGAATAGGGAGGACCTGTGCTCAGCCACCAGGACCAGATGGCACCTGCTAATTCTGTGTCCTGAGGTGTGACCCAGCCACACACCAGCACGGGGCGCCACCACTTGGAAGCAGCAACCTCAAAGACAACCAGAAACAAATTGCTAATTCCAATAGTTAATTCCCTCCTTCATTTTATTTGATAAAAATTTGTATTATATACACATTTTCAGACATTTAAAAGAAATGGCATCATTTGCTGCTGAAAATTGCTATCAAAAGCCACTCGGAGATGTTTGGAACGTTCTGAGTTGTGCTTAGTCATATGTTCCACTAGGTGGCAGTAATTTCCCAAATCATTTCCATTCGAAAGAAAAGGCGCAGTTTCCCCAGCTGCTCTCAGAAGCTCCTTAAAGAAATCCCTTTGCCCAAACAAGCAGGCTTTTCAGGGGTGACAACATATACTCTACCGGCCACTGCTGCCCATAAATAAAGATCTGGCTGCGAGCGATGTCGACTCTGTTCCATGCCAAGGCCAAGCTCAACTGGTCTGGGGCTGAGGCATTGGCTCCTGTTGACAAGTAGGAGAAAAGAGTGGGAGAGAGAAAACAATGATGAGTTGTTATACCAAGAAGACCCTTCATCGCTCTCACATCAGTAGCCCTCTTTTTGAAAAGTAGACTCAGGTGTACAGTGGGGTTTCTCAAACTCGGCACTATTGACATTTTATTGAGGGGCTATCCTGTAACTGTGGAATATTTAGCAGCATTTTGGACCCAACCCATTAGAGGCCTATAGATCTCCTTCCAAAGTCATGACAATGACAAATGTCTCTAGACATTGCTACATTCTCCCAGGGGTGAAGGGAGACAAAATTGGCCATCAAACACCATTGCTTGACAGTCTTTTTTCAAAATTTAGTATAGGTGGTATACAGTATTAAATGATTTTCAGGTGTACAATATAGTGATTTGACATTTTTATACCTTACAATGTGATCGCTCCTCAAATTCTAGTAATCATCTGTTACAGTGCAAACTTATCACAATATTATTGAATATATTACCCTTTATCTTTTTCATCCCTCCACCCCCTCTTCAATAATCATCCCTTTGGTCTCTGCTTCTATGAGTCTAGTTTTTTTATTCCACATATAAACAAAACCATACAGTATTTGTCTTTTTCTGTCTGACTTATTTCACTTAGCATAATATACTCTATGTCCATTCATGTTGTCACAAATGGCAAGATTTCATTCTTTTTTATTGCGGCATAATATTCTATTGTAGATATATACCATGTCTTCTTTATTTATTCATCTATTGATGGACACCTAGGTTGCATCCATATTTTGGCTGTTATAAATAAAGCTGCAATGAACATAGGGGTGCGTATATATCTTTATGGATTAGTGCTTTGTCTTTTTTGGAACTGCTAGGTCTTGTGGTAGATATCTGTTTAGATTTTTGAGGAATCATCCTACTGTTTTCCATAGTGGCTGCACCAGTTTACATTCCCACAAACCGTGCACAAGGGTTCCCTTTATTCCACATCCTCAGCAACACTTGTCATTTGTTGATTTTTTTTTTAATAATAACTATTCTCAAATGGCATTTCTCATACTGCCGTCCCCACATATTGAGTTTAGTATAAAACACATACTGTACTTGTAGTAAGTCAATTCGTTTTTGAAATGACAGATATATTCAGTTTACGCAGGGGTGTTCCTCACACCTGGGACGCGTGAGGGCTGAGGAACAGTGGCGGGAGGGCAGACCCGCACTCAGTGTGATGGTTAGGAGGAGACCAGGAAGGTGCTACTGTGAGGGGCCTGGTGGAGGAGTCGGGGTCCTCTTAGGTGACAGGGACCCTGAGTGCGAGAGAATTGAAAAAGCCACCGGAGAGGAAAGCACTGCAAATGTAAAAGAGAAGAGCGAATGCATTATGGACGAGCTCCTGGAGAAGGCAGAGGTCATTAGTTTTAGCCAAGAAGAGAGTTCTTCAGGGTGAAGAGAAAAAACAAGAGGCCAAGCGAAGAAAATAGTATTCATGAAGGAAACTTGGATGAATGTAAACACTGTAAATTAAGTGAGAGAGGATACAATCTGCTAAGAGTGAGAAGTGTGGAGAAGGTGTCAAAGGCTGAGGCTTAAAGAATGAGGCAGGCCCAGCCGGTATGGCTCAGTGGTTGAGTGCTGACCCATGCACCAAGAGGTCACTGGTTCGAGTCCTGGTCAGGGCACATGCCCAGGTTGTGGGCCTGATCCCCAGGGTGGGGCATGCAGGAGGCTGCCAATCGATGTGCTCTCTCGTCAATGTTTCTATCTTTCTCTCCCTCTCCCTTTCTCTCTCTCTCAAATCAATAGAGAAAAAAAAATATATGTATATATAAAAGACATCAGATTCTCAGAAAAGTAAATAAATAATAATGAAAAGGACATCAGATTCTCTAGCTATATGAAAACCAGGAAAGTGAAATGAAACTAGCTGAAATGTGACCTGCACTGGAGGTCATGTGACTTGGGTTGCTAGGATGCACCTTTATTGTCGGTCAGAGCACGGACACCACCTACCCGGTGAACCTCTCAGGAATGTGGCTGCTACATGGAGAAAAACCAAATTGAAGGCTTGAAGCATACACATAAAAAGTTGATGAGGCCTGTGTATAATTTATTCTTTGCTGTCTTTTCTTGCCCTGAATGATAACTATCTCTTCTTGGTAAAACTAACTCTAGTGAACTCCTAGGAGAAAGTTAAAAGGAAGTGTAAAAACTGGATTAACTTTAGCTAAAGAAATTCAGATTTGGCTTGTAAGAGACAAAAGAGGCAGCTGAGTGGAACAGCCCTTTCTAGAAAGTGGAGGGTTTCTTTCTTGGTTTATTTTAGTAAACAAAAAAGATAATAATAACGAGTACTTCTTTCATGCCTGGCTTGTGCCAGGAACTGTTTCTAAGTGTTCATGTATTAAATCTAAGAAGAAACTATGAGGTGCCATCCTCACCATTTTACAGATGAGAAAACTGAGGCACAGAAACTAGTTCAAGGTGAAGTACCTAGAAGTGCGAGATGAGATTCAAACCGAGGCAGTCTGGTTTTAGAGCTGACATTTCTGTTTGTTTGTCTTGATTCACAGACACTGAGAAACTTTTATTGAACTCATGATACTACGACACAAAGGAAAATAGGCAAACAGGCTTTTTTGTGTGTCCTCTGTCAAAAAACAAAGCACACTGTATTAAAGAGAAAGCCAGAATATTCTCTAATGCCATATGATTAGGGCCAAAATTGGTAAAATGCTAAAATGTTATCTAAAATTTATAGTAAAGCCATTTGGGCTTGAAGGTTTACTTATTTATCCAGTGCTACTGAGATATAATTGACATATAACATTGTATTAGTTTTAGGTGTACAGCATCGTGATTTGATACATATGTATATTGTAAAATGAGTACCATAATAAGTTTAGTCACACATAGTTACAATTTTTGGTTGTGATAAGAACTTTTAAGATCTACTGTTTTAGCAATCTTTAGATATACAATAAAGTTTTATTAACTATAGTTACCATGCTATAGATTACAACCTCAGGACTTGCTTATCTTACAACTAGACGTTTGTATCTTTTGGTCACCTTCACCCATTTTGCCCCACAACCCCCTGCTGAAATATATATATTTCATATATAAATTCATAAGTTACATATTTATAAATTTATATATCAAAATATTTATTACTAAATATTATATATTAATATAACACTCCATTAATATTTATATAATTATAATAATCACACTATTAAGATAATTAATATTGTACATTAATATGATATGATGATATTATAGTATTTTATTATATATTAATGTCAATAATATATTAATATGCTATATTAATAAATTTATATATTATTTGTATAAAATATATATTTCATATATATATATTTTTGACTTTTTATGAGTTTATTTGAGCCAAACTGACAACATTGTCAGGAAGCAAGATCAAATCTTGCTACAAAATATAACAGTTTTGCAGTTTATTTTATACATTTAGAATTAAGGAGGGAACCAAAAAAGATTACATGAAGTGGGAGAAAGCAAGTCAGGGATTGGATTACAGGACAGCTAACAAGATTACACGATCCCTCGAGGGTTGTCATGCTTCTGAGAGATCGGAAAAAGAGTCATTTCAAAGGTGTTAACCTAGACGCACAGAAACAATGGCAGGGTTTAGGGCTTGCTTCAGGCAAAGATAACTTTTCACTGCGAAGTTAGAGGCCTGAGGCGCGACTACCCACCATAATTGGCCCAGTTAGGGATTTATGATCAGATCATCCTGTGACATTACTTTCCATAGAGCCCTTTCTTGGTCCACAATCCCCCTTTTTGGTCATAAATCCATCTGAAGGATGCACTGATGACCAATCTTTTGGTTGGATAGTGTGGTCTCAGCACTCGGGCACCTCATTCCTAGGTAGTCTCAGAATCGACATCCTCTTGTTGACCTTTGGGATGGAGCAATACTGTAACCATGGGATGTGAGCAAAGGACACATTTTCCCAAAAAGGAAAGGGCAGGTAAATGGAAGGTCATGTGGCCTTCCGTGTGAAAAACACCCTGGATCATCTCTATCCTGTGAACTATCATCATCCAAGTTTTGCTGTCTGTCTCATTTTTCTGTATTTAGCATCTAATATAACATTTACATAAGCCATAAAGAGTATTAACAGTTATCTTATACATTGTCAGTAATCATAACAGTTGGACTATAACCCAAGGAAAAACCCAGAGTAAGTATAACTGTTATGATGGCTAATATCGCTAACAATCAAACAAAATGGTTTCTGAGTTTGACATCAATCCATAGGTATATAGACCTTGTTGATGTCTTGGAATAGCCGTCTGCCTGTAGTCGACAGCTTCCCATCCTAGAGGAATCTTTGATGTCCCTTGTAAGGGGAGGCACGGTTAGGTGTCCATTCATGGTTAGGTGCCTGATAAGATCCCTTCCAAGGATGTTGGAGAGTGTCCCTTTATTTGATGACCTTTCTAAAAAACAGTATCTGAAGTCTTTGTCTCCTGGGAGCTTGCAGATGCTGCCAGAACCAAGATGCTTTTCAAGGCATGTGTCCCTTTCTCGGGGTGCCCTGCCCTTCACAAAGAACTCTCCCCCAGGGCTCCCACTGGCTTCTCCGTATTGGTGGCATTACTGCACTGGACACATCATACAGCCCATCTCCACCACTCCAGATTCTGGGACCTGCAACAACTATCGTCACCCATCGGCTATTCGGGTTAAGGAAGCAAGTGCCCTTCCTCTTTTGGAGCTAAAGAGAGTTCCGTCTCTCATTTAACCGGCACATATTTTGTTCAGACCTTCAGTAATCTGATTTGAAATGGGGAGCCAGTGGGGCACAAAGGGCCCAGGCTGGTACCCAGCACTGAGTCCAGGTCCTGGATGGGCTTCTGCAAAATCCTGCCAGCAACACCAAGTAAATGTCGGTGTAAGAAACATCCAAAGTTGTAAAGAATTTTTATGAGTTTATTTGATGACATTTAACTGAAGACATTGCTGGGA